CCCCATCCCATTTACCACGGGTTGAGGTTTAGGGGGTTCAAGGCCTTCGGGCTTCTCGAGGTCCTTGAGGTCGTCTTTGGACAATAGTGTGTGGACGAACTGATTAGTGCGGCCCAGGTCCTGTGCTTGAAGTCGAGCATTGCGCATTTCGTTCTAACAAGAATTAGCCTAATCATAACAACGGATTCGGGCATGGCGTACCGCAAGCCGTTTTAATATTTGGTCAGTAGCAACAGGGGTAAGGAAGAAAGGTCTTTGTTGTGCCATTCCGTTGACTTGCATGTTCATGACACCAGCGCCATTGGGCATCATACGACCGTTGCTGGCCATAGAAGCATTACTGTTAGTGCGACCTCGCAGCTGCATAGGCCCCGAAGGCATCATCATAGCGCCATTAGCTGGGTCGAGGTCGCCAAAGTTCATATCCATGACATTGCTCGATGCGCTAAGAAAGCCAGCATGTTCAACCTTGGCAGCCACTTTGTGGTGGACGACTGTTTTCTGGTCTTCACTGACGATGTCGATGCCAAGCTCCAGATGATCGGAGGTTTGCAGTTCATGCGGCTCGGATTCGCGATTTTCCTGTGATAGACGAGTACCGTTGACAAAAGTTCCATTCGAAGACTTAACATCTCGAATATAAATTTTGCCATTGCGTTCCGCATAAATTTCAGCGTGTTGTCTGGACAGCACTTTACTGTCGAAGAAACCGTTGGTTGGGGTCGGGATGGTCTTTTGGTTGGTTTGTCGGCCTATACGGAGGCTTTCGGGGGCAAAAGGCACAGCGATTGTTTTCCGTTCAAAGGTACCGTTGAGTGATAATAGATATAGAACCGGTTGGCCAGGAGGAACTTGTTCGGCACTCATGGGCCGCATCATTCCTTGAGACGTCATCTGAACCTGGCCAGGGCCGGCCTGTACAGGCCCATGGGCCGTAATCATGCCTTGACCTCTGCCAGCGGGCAGTCTAGACATGTCCTGTTGTTGAAAATCCCCTTTTCCTGGCGGCCAGGGGACTTTCGGTTGGGGCCGTTTTCGAGGTGCGCCGTTAGCCGACCATTGGGTCAAATCTGAAGTTGAAGACAATGGAGTACCGCCATTAGCGTGGGAACCATTCGAGGCAACCGTGGTAGCAGAAGAGTTCGAAGATGTCGAAGAAACAGACGACGATGAGTTGGATCGAGTAAGGGTCTTGCGGGGCGCGAACATGCCAATGCCACCTCGACCTTCTTCCGAATTCATTTGATGGTTCCCGTTAATCGGACCCCATGCTGGTCTTGACGCGGAGAAGGTTTGTGGATTTGCGACTGCAGTCATGAGGATGATTGATGCTCAGCGTGTTGCGGCCGATAAACGCAGCGTCGAAGATATAAAGATGCCGGATGTGGTAGTAAGACGTGTGCGGCTCGCGCGCCTACGAGGCTGATGTCACTCCACCCGAAAGTTGGAGGCTGAAAGGATTTATGATGGCGGGTTCGAAGAAAAACGTTGTAGTTTGGATGAAATGCGATTGAAATTTGAATACTTCAAAGTGGCTTGACGTTGCTGGTGGACAAGAAAAATCATGAGCTCGTGGCTGGGAACAGGTTTTGGTAATGAAGAATTGAGACGATCGGCGATGACCCCGTCGGACCAGGGACAGGAGGTCAAGAGGCGAGTCGGGCCAGCGACAGCCAAGATGGGTGCTTCACTCACCAAGCACGAGGATATCGCGATGTCGGAATACGGTTTCGCGTCGCAAGAGACGATAGTTTTAGAAGGCTTCAGGGCCGTGAATGAGTTGATGAGAGGTTGCCGTAACAGTGACAGTATGGGGGAGGTCTCGCTCGCTAAGCGCTGCTTGGCGTGTTGGCGTGTTCAAATTTGGAGCCCCCGGTCGACAACTCTCAGCTCAGGCACACGGAGTACAGAGCACAGTGGAGCACACGCCCAATGACTCTGGCATGTGCTCACTGCTCGCATAACCCCAGCACCACAAGAAACAAAGGCTTGAGCGTCAGAGATTGTCTTGTAAGTGAAAGAGAATTGTCTGAAAAAACCACAAACCATCAAATCCCTCTTGCGAGTCGGAACCGCCTTGTGGAGCCATATCTTGACCCACGAGAGGGACCACGTGACGTTTTCTTCACAGTAAAGATATGTCACTCTTTTGTCCCGCACTGTACGGGAGGGTGATCCGTGCCTCGAGTCCCGCACCGACCTTTCTCCGAACCCTGAGTCCACTTTAGCCATTTGGCCAATGGGAGTAAGCCTCGAGAGGTCATTCGGGTTCGAGGAAAGTTGTCGTATGAAGAGAGCTTCATCAGCAATTGCTCTACTTTGCGTTGTGCCATTTCGACAAACTTCGCCGGCCACAATCGATAATCCAGCACACGCAGTAACTCCGAAATCTTGTATCGAGACCTACCACGCTCTCAATGCCTCCCGTTGCTCCCATCAATGCTGGCCAGCATGGCCCCTCCAACGTGGATAAACGTAGGCTGATATCACTCTCATGGCATTAGGTGCTTGCTAACAAGTTCGCAGTCAAGATGGGTGCCATGATGGGTGGAAGTACGATCTACTCCCTTTTTAGTTCTCGTTCGCTGTGAAAGATACTGACATGGCATAGCTGTTGGTGTCATCATGGGTTTTGTGTTTGGTTCGTCTACAATCGGATGCGCTGTCTCAGCTCTGAGGTCATAACTAATGATGACCAGGAACTGTCAACATTTTCCGATATGGAGCCGGCCCTAACGGCATTATGAGAACTCTCGGTCAATACATGCTTGGCTCCGGAGCAACTTTTGGGTATTTCTGACACAGGCCCCAATGACTTACACGAGTGCTAACCACGACCTATAGCTTCTTCATGTCCATTGGTAGTGTCATTCGATCCGATGCCGACCCCAAACTTCACGAAATGTACATGCGAGCTCAACGTCGGCCTCTAATGTTGATGGCCAACCCCGCGTGGAGGAAATCATGAGAGCATCATATCATACGAGACGAGAGCAATACCCAGTCGACTTCGACTTCCACCCTGTACAGTCTGGCCTCTGATGGCCGCAATCTGTAAAATACATATCAAAATTATTTCGAAATGGACCAATCTATTGTCAAGTCTCAGGCCCACCATCGATACCGTGCATCAGACCAGTCAACAGATGTCTGTTGGTCTCACGATGCGAGGGTTTTTTGTTATGCCGTCAGACCTTGCAGACCGCTGCGTTTTCCGGGTTCAAGTGACCCGATTATATGTGACTGCATCTGAAGATTACACAACAATCTTTGAGAGGCGGCGAGAGAGCTGTGGCGTTCAATATAAGCCCTTAACCGTCCAGGTTACATTTCTTTACAGACATGATCGGCACACCACTACCCAGCATGTTGGCCTACCCCACGGCTGCCGATACGAGGTGACAACAACAACCACGCTCGATGTTGTCGAGCAGCTGGAAATTCTTGACGCTTAAACTTTCCACAAGCTAACCGCTTTGGCTCATGCAATTTAGTCAATGGCGTTCAATAGCTTGTTATCGCATCCTCTTTTTTGCATATGCAGCAGGAAGTCAACCCTGCTTTTGCACAACTGGCGCCATGCTTCCTCGCTATTGGCGATCGGTCCAGTGGGCTGAGGGAATCGCCTTTTAGAGGACAGCTGAGAGCGAACTCTAAGTCTCACAACTTATGCATATTGAACAACATCGTGCATTGACGGAATATTTCTTGGGGCGTGTGTCAGTGATTGTGCTGTTACATCGAGTTGAATCGTTTTATGCGGTCCATATGAAAGCATGATCACATGCCTTTGAAGCTGACATGCTGACTTTGCTAGGCTCATTGATGTCTGGATCACTATCTCTCGACATTACGAGATTATTGATCGGTCGATCGTAATTGGCGCTTTCATAGCAACAATTACCAAATGAGGAACCGCCCGGCTTACACGCTTTTGAAATGTTGGAGCTTGCTGCTGTTGTTGGGCTGCATCGTGCAGTCGCCAATTACGACTGAGCAAACTCAAGACAAGGTTAAATCTACTCGATCGATCCTTGCCCTTCTACACACAGTCAGAAATAGGTAGTTGGAAAGGCGGTTGCCTTCAGGGCATCAACCAATGTCTGAACTGTATTTTCTGACGCTTGCTTCGCGAGCTGGCACTAGCTTATCACGCTTGGTACCAACGCCAATATCAGTAACTTTTGCGGGCAATCTTTTCGTATTTCTACTCGAATTACTTACTGTTTAAGCTCAATTGGACCCACTGCGTTTCTTTTACGTACCTGACTACGCAGAATAACGGTCTGCCTGAAACTCCCGTTCAGCTGTCTAGGATCATTGCATCTGTTGGGCGGGACCGGCTTCGATCTGGGTATACCCCAGTTGCAAATCATCAAAAATGCTTAACCATAACACGGCAAGTCGAGATACGGATGTTCAAGATGTGCGACCTAGTGGAGATCTCGTGTCTATTTTCCGCATCCATTGTCTAAGGCTGAAGCAACTAAGACAGCGGCGGCCATTCCGCCACACCCCAATATCCCTACCACAACATCCTCACATCATGGGTCGGTGAAGCTTAACGTCTCCTCTATGATAGGGCAATTTACTTTTACGAATCGCACTTCATGGTGTGCTGACCGTCATCATGGCTTGCAGCTGTCCTGGTGCATGTAAGGCCTCGCCATGTGGTCCTCTCTCACCAAGCTCTAGTCCTCAACATCACTACAACACCTCTCATGGATATGGGACTCAGCCATGCAGGCTTAGTCCATGATAACCGAGAGTAGTCAAGGTTGACCCGTATGCGATCGCCCGTTTCTCGCAGATGAGGCTTGATCCCGCGGGTCTTCGGCACATGCCTTGTCCTAAGATAGAAGTTCCTTCTGCAGTGGCTGTCGATGGACTGAGCTCATCAACACGCCCCTCTTGACTATATAGACCAGTGTTGGTTCCTGTAAGAAGATGGGATATCTCAGCATCCTTCCTCCATAGAGACCCCAAGTCCGCTGTGCAGTATGGGCAATACCAATAGCAGTCCTTTCAATCTCGGGGACCTGGGACAATTGTCCCAGTTGCAGACCAATGGGTAAAGCACTATGCTTCCGGATATCTGTATACATGAACTGATCTATTAATAGGGAGTCCTCGTATGGCACGTTTGATGCACCTGACCTGCCAACTTTCCTGACTGACAACCCTACCCCTAATGGCTACCCTTGGAGTACCATGAATTCCCAAACCAATTACTATCAGGACCAACCAAACACTGGGGTCATTAGGAGGTACGACTTCACTGTCAGTCGGGGAACCATCGCCCCCGACGGCTATGAGCTGTCCACAATCCTCGTGAACGGGCAATTTCCTGCGCCCCTGATTGAAGCAAACTGGGGTGACACCATCCAAGTCACTGTTCATAACGACTTGGACGATGAGGGTGTCTCCTTGCATTGGCATGGTATCCTTCAGAAGGGAATGCCGTGGGAAGATGGCGTTCCGGGTGTAACCCAATGCCCGATCCCACCTAAAAAGAGTTTCACGTATCAGTTTCTGGCCGACCTGTATGGAACAAGTTGGTACCACTCTCATTATTCCGCTCAAGTTGCTGCTGGTTTATTTGGCCCAATGGTCATATATGGACCACGAGAAAAGAAAGACTACGACATCGATATTGGGCCTATTATGTTGAGTGATTGGTATCACAAAGAGTATTTCGACCTCGTTGAGGAGATAATGAAACCCGGCGGTAATGGAGTTGTTTTCTCTGACAGCAATCTCATCAACGGAAAGATGAACTTCAACTGCTCCAGTGTGGCACCGGGAGACAAGACGCCCTGCAAAAGCAATGCTGGTATCTCCAAATTTCGCTTCAAGCGCGGTAAAGTCCACCGCTTACGTCTCATCAACCCAAGTGCCGAAGCCATACAACGATTTTCCATTGATGGTCACACAATGAAAGTCATAGCGAATGACTTTGTTCCAGTTCAGCCGTATGATACCAAAGTTGTAACTCTTGGGGTTGGCCAACGGACAGATGTACTGGTCAGAGCCAACGGCAAATTGGACTCATACTGGATGCGCAGCAACATTTCTGCCATCTGTAGTCTGGGTCGTGCCCCAGCTGCCCTTGCGGCAATATACTACGACAATGCAAATCAGAAAAAAGCACCCAAATCACAGGCTTGGGACATCCCTGATCCAGGGACTTGTGCCAACGATGATTTGAGTATCACAAAGCCCGTGATGAAGCTGCCTTTGCCTCCAGCTGACAAGACTATTGAGCTTGATATTGGTTCATTCAAAAACGCAAGCAACGTCACGCTCTGGACGTTGGGGGGAGTGGCTGCAAGGACAAACTACAACAGTCCGACCCTGCTCCTCAGCAAACTTGGCAATCACACATTCGAGCCTGAATGGAACGTGATAAATACTGGAAAGGCAAAGAGCGTGAGAGTGGTTGTCAATAACAAGACTCCTGTGGCGTAAGTACTCGACACAATCGATGCGGCTTCTTACAGTGGCTGACAATGAATTCTGCCCAGGCATCCAATGCACTTGCACGGCTTCAACATGTATGTCCTACATGAGGGGACAGGTTCCTGGGACGGAACAATCATAAACAGACACAACCCACAGCGTCGCGACGTTGTTCAAATTCGGGGCAATGGTCACATCGTGATACAGTTCGATGCCGGAGAAAATCCGGGTACGTTTGCCTCCCCTGGCTCACTCAGCCTTATGATAATCACCCCTTTCTGCGGTCACGGTTGCATCGTGCTGACATGCATTTGCTCATAGGTGTATGGCCGCTCCATTGCCACATCGCGTGGCACGTCTCGGCAGGCTTTCTCACGCAGTTTCTCACAAATCCAGATCAAGTCAAGAAACTACGTATACCGAACGTGGTGGCTGAGACGTGCCGGCAGTGGGGACACTGGACACTCTCAAATATCCCGGCACAAATCGACAGTGGACTGTAAGCAAATGTGATTCTAAAGGATGGAAAGACTTAGGACCTTTATCATAAGGGATAAAAAGCTTAGGTAATTTGGCCTAAGCTTAGGGGAGGCTTTACTGAGTTCAGTTTGGCATCCTCTCTTAAAGTCTTATGTTTTCTTGCTCCCAGAGAGCCTGGGGTGTCTGTCTTCTCTTCGTTCCTTGTCATTATTTCTTAAAGTTGGTGTCGGTCTGTATGATGAGTATGATATGATGATATAAGATCAGGGCCAGTCTGATTCAGGGTATATTCTCCTATATAAGGATATTCTACAGTAAAAGTTACAGCATATGTCAAGTAACATGGAACTTCGTAGCATGGTAATGAATGATAACCTAATTCTTTCATTAGACTAACTCTCGCATTGATCTAGTCAATGCGGACTGTCTATATAACCGTACCCTATTGCATTTCATCGTGATCAACATAAAGAAACTCGTCTAGTCATTTGTCCCCAGTTTATAAAGAGCAGGAAATTGCATCCTTTTACACCGACCTCTTTTTCGGACACCTTCAAGTGTTGGAACGCCCCATCTGTACTCATAGTACTTGAGGACTAACTACTTCTCCTTGTGCCTGAGAGCTGCTGGTACAGTTCCTTCTTTTGTAGCCTCTGCCTTTGATGTCTCTGCTTTTGGTAGCTCTTCTTCAGGGGTTTGTGGCTTAGGCAGCTCTGTGACTAAAGACTCTGTCTTGTTTGCCTCGGCCCCAAGCTGCTCAACATTAGATCGATCTAGTTTAGGTTGTTGAGTCTTGGGCGTCTCCTTGGTATCATTTTCCAATTCTGTAGTAGCTGTAGCTGTTTCTGATTCGCGTTGCTTGTCATCGTCCTTTGGCGTTTCCGAGACAGTGGGACCATCCTTGTGCTTCGTGGGCTCCTTTTTCAAGGGCACGCCTTCGTCGCTCTCGTCAATAACGACAGCACCAACTTCGGCGGCCAAGCGCTCAACCTCATCCTGTACATCATCCTTCTCTCTACCGCCGAGCTGTCGATCTGCCTCGGCATCGCCCACGGTCTGCCTCCAGAGCTTCTCGAGCTCGTCTCGCCAGCCAAGCGCATCAGCAAGCTTGCGAATACCGGCATCGCAATCGCCGAGTTCCATCACATCATCAGATCGGGTTCCAATTTGACCCACCTTTTCCATGTTGAAAAGCACACGAGGTTTGCCCTCTGGCGCCATGCCTGGGAGAGCAGCGAAGGGGTAAACGCTGAGACTGGTACCCACGATCAAAACGAGGTCGGCCATCGCTACTTGATACGTATTGTTGTCGAATGCCTTGGGCAGCGCTTCCCCAAAGAAGACGATATCTGGCTTTACAAGTCCCTTGCAGCCCTCCTTGTCGCAATGGGGAACCTTGCCTCCAAAGACGTGCTCCTTCATCTTCTCATCCGGGTATTCCTCCTTGCACTCGATGCAGCGCTGTGTCGCAAAGCTTCCATGGGCCTCAATGATCTTGTCCGAAGGTACTCCAGCTACGCGCTCAAGGCAATCGATGTTCTGTGTGAAGAGCATCTGAAGAAGGCCCTTGCGGGCGAGGAGGGCAATGAAGGCATGGGAGACGGTCGGAGAGAATTTCCCTGGGTATAATTCGTTTGCTAGAACATAGAAGGGCTCGGGGTGATTGCGAAAATAAGAGATATCGAAAACGGCTTCGGCGTAAGGCAGATTGAGGCGGGCAAGGTTGGCGTAAAGACCTGTTCCAGGCGATCGAAAGTCGGGGACTTATAGGTTTGTCAGATATGTTTTTAGTTCTGATGTCAGTCCAATTACTCACTTCCAGCAGCAGTGGAGATACCAGCACCAGTCAAGACGACAATTCTCTTGCTCCGACCCGATTTGATATACTCGGCGACAGCGTCAAGGCTTCGCTCAGTGAGTGTGACGGGCGGGCCGCCATAACTCATAGAGGACTCTTCCTGGCCCATTTTGCGATTAAACCAGCGAGGGCCGCGCGGTCCAGGCTTATTCTTGTTTTTGCGTCTTCGACCTATTTTGACGGCAATGGAAGCAAAAATAATGCTGCTTCGTCTAGAGATGCTGATTGCGCATGCATGCAGAATGCAGTGTGGGAGTAACGTTCGGCGGGCGTCAAGGTGGGGGGATATTCTGATTTACATCATTTTTTACTTGCAGTCTTATCGATAAGGATATAAGTGAGATCGATGTGTGCTTCAAGGCAACAAAGAAACGAGTCGCAGCCTAGACAAGGTCCATTGTCATTGCTAATACGTCTTTCTGATAGGATGGATGCATATGCTAACATCACGTCATCATCGACGCAGTCATCTGAATAAACGCCAAGGCTGTTGCATGCACTTCACATAGAAACCTAGAGGCCCGCATGAGAAGACTTCAGAATGGATTGGACAAAGTAGGTATGTATAATTTCATACATTTTGCACAATCCCGGTATGACTGACTCCCCGCAACTTTAATCTTGTGGCAATAATTATGCTATGGCTATTGTTCATGGCCTCCATGGCCGCTCATAGATAGCCCATGGCAAGGCACCAGCTGTCAAGGCTTGAAACCATTCAAAATTTAAAGTTGAAGACGATGTAATTCAGACAATCCCACCCTGACGACAAACGCCTCGTCAAAGGTCTACAAGCGAAAGTGATAACGAGCAAGCCGATCCGCCCGCTTCCCATAACAAATTTCAGGCCCAGTCCCATCCCAGTCCAATTCTGCACACCAACGCCTAGCAATGCGATAATTCCCTTTACGCCCGTTTCCACCCTTTCCAGTGATCCATTCCTGGCCACTTTTCCTAACCGTGACGCTCTCGAGCAGCGGCGAATTGCTCCTCCTGTAGACGAGCGAGTTCCTCCATGGACATGCCACTGTTGGCGAACTTGTCTGCCTTCTTCTCTCGACCCTGGCTATTGTTAGTCTTTGCCAAATATGCAGAGGGGAAATTGTGGGTTTACCTTTTGGACTTCCTTGTGCTCAGCTGCTGCCTCGAGAACAGCAGGGACCATGTCAGTGAAGCCTAGTTGCTCGAGAGCTTTCGTAATATGATCGCAGGCAATAGTCTTCTTTGCTTCCTTCTCAGAGATCTCGTTTGCCTCTGATGAAATAAGAGTAATGAACTCAACACAGCATTCAATTAAGAGATCGCGGGCCTCCTTAGCGAATGCCACGCCTGCGGATGGGGGAAGAATTTCAGATACAATTTTTTGAACAGTAGCTGCAACTCAGTTAGTGAATGGTTTTTTAATAGGAGGAGCACTGTGACATACCTTTCGGGAGCGACAAATCGTCGTTACCTATAAGTCAAAGTTGTTAGCCAAGGGTCTTGAAGCAGACATGAAGAGCAGACCAAGAGTTCCACTGTCATATTTGAGCCAGTATCTGGTTGACGCTGGTAAAGGCATCGTGGGAGACAAATCGTAAAAAGAAATATGAAATCGGTAGAGTATTTGAGATAGACCGGGAAGTTTGAGATGAAAAGTAGATGCGAAAATGTGCTATGTGTGTAAAGTGTCGATAGTGATGAAAAGGGTTTCGAGATATTGAACATGATGAGAAACTTCTCGGTAGAAATCAATATAAGTAAAAGTTGAAAGAATGTTATTCACAACGCCGTGACTTCCAACCAACAGTGACGCATTGTCGTGATGGTCAACGAGGATGGAAGGTGCGTATATAAACGGGATGAGCAAGAAACACAAGAACAAACGAACAAATAAAAAGTAAAGAAAATACTTGCCTCCAAACTCGTGATCAGACATCTTGGAGAAGCAAAAATCCGTGAATCAGGGTGGTGATGGAAGGGTGTTTGCGGTTGACTGCGTATTTTGGAGTGATGACCGAGAATACACCAAAGACGCGGTTATTCAGAGACGGTGGCTGGCCGAGTGCAACGCGAAGACAAAGTCCCAGGGAGCAATAAATGTAACAAAAAATTGAAGATGAGATAAGCGAGGTCTTGTAGTGATGTATGTATCCGTCGAGAAGCGTGTATGTTTCACTGTTGTTTGAGTGCTGTTGTTTTATATTGGATCTTGATGATGAGCTTCACTTTTGCTTGTCAGGCTGAGAAGGAGACAGACGGGTGGGATGGTCACTCAGGCCCATGAGTGGTGGGGCAAGCCTCTTTTGTATCTGAAGAGCTGCTGTGTTTTTTTTTTTGCGCCGCGCTTGTAGCCAAGTCTCCACCTGGAATTTCATTTGCTCAGTGGAATTTCATTCATGGCAGTGGCTCGAGCACCAGTGGGGGAGCCTCAGGTCCCAAGGCTGCTGCCCGTAACTGGACTGGGCTCCATGTAATTGGTGTCTCCATTTCCAGCCACACGGGGCGCGTCTTTTTTGTTGTGCACGGACCAGTTACGCAGCTATTTCAGAACTTCCATCTTTTGAAAATTTCCTATTCCTTCATCAACACATTCCTTTTCTCTCTCCATTCTCTACAAACATGCCACAACGCTCTGATCGAGCAACGGCTTTGTCAAGGCGGCGCCAATAGCGTCTGCCAATTTGCTATACCTCAAAAGTACTCGCTTTGTGCGTTGCTTTCACTCGAGTGCAGCCGCCGATTCTTTGGGTAAGTCTCTCTTTGTTCTCCATCCACCAACTCGCATGAAGAGATATGTTGTCGCCCCAGGCTGAGGAGGTTCGACAAGCCTCCTGTGCTGATTGACTTCGTCCTGTGCCAAATGGACAGAACTGATTGATCCCAATCGTCTTTGTTTCAAAGCTTGAACCACGCAACCCGATCAAGGGCTAATCAACTCAAAGTTTAGGCTGCACTTTCTAACCCACGCTGTAAGACTCCCTTCAGCATCTTTACACCTCTCCGATACGCCATGATGCACTTCGCTATCTGGTACTATCAAATACCGACTCTCATGACGGATAAAAACGATAGCCTGAGCGCATTCGACTGCACGCTTGCTTTGGACAACATGTTGGAACGTATAACTAACATGCGACAAGGCAGCTGTTTTGAACATCATGTCTTTGGGACTTCGGTTGCATGCGACAAATCAGCATCAGGTAAGAACAAACTTTTATTTTCTTTCGACTACCAACATCAAATGCTATGATGAAGAAACTTACATTCCATGCTAAATCCGAATGTCCATGTGGAGCAAACTAAGAGCTTTTCATCTTTCGACTGACTTGCATTTGTCTTTCTATCTTTTATCTACTCGAATCATATGCAAAGACATAAAGCTAACTCTGCTTGAGATATCCAGGTTCTTGCAACATCCCTAAGCTAAACCCTATTCTTGGTATGCCTCGACCTCTGGTGAGTTCCATCTGCATAATTGTTAGTCTTTGATGTCATAGTATGTTGTGTGAGACGTACGAGAAGAATTTGCCGCTCAGCTCTTTGAGCGGGTCTGCGACAAACTTGGCCATAACATTTCCTGGCTGCTCGGGCTTGAGCAAGGTGCCCTTTTCTTTGGCTTCGACGAAGGAATCGTATTGTGCCTTGTTCATAGAAGATTGGCCTTCCGATCTCAGTACTCCTTGCATCTCAGTGTCGACTCGACCTGGTGCAATAGCAACACTTGTGATATCAGGCTCTTCGAGCGCAATGTGAGCTGAGACAGAATTGTAGACAGCCTTTGATGAACCGTAACTTGACCAGGCGGCATATTGCTTAGTTGCTGCTCCTGACGAGACCCAGACAATGCAACCTTTGGACTTGCGTAGCTCTTTGATCGCAGCTTGAGCCTAGTGTTGTCAGTGTTCATGCTCGTAAAAGGACTGGACTAAGATTCCCTTACCAAGGCAATACCGCTGAAGACGTTGATGTCATAAATCTTCTTCCACTCTTCGAGCGTGGTGTCTGCAAATTTCTTGGGCGCCAACATGCCATGGTTGATGACCAGACCATCAACCTTGCCGAACGAGGATACAGCAAGGTCAACAAGCTTTGAAGGCAGCTAGAAAGCATATATCAGCCTCGTGACTCCTAATCTTTCAATTGGGTTACTCACCTGAGGTTCGACAATATCTCCAGCAATGAATTGGACCTGGTCAGGGTGCGATTTCTTCAACCCCTCCAATGCTTCAGATGATCGAGCTGTAATAACAACCTTGTGGGATTGGTTAAGCAGATAACGGGTAATGGCGGCGCCAATGCCCTTACTGGCGCCTGTAATAATGAAGACTTTGGAGGTCATGTTGAGGAATATGCTGTGTGACTGATATTGTTACCGTTCAGTGAGTATCCGTAACTTGGCACGTTTTTGAAGCTCAAGAGAGTGGGGGTTTCTTGGTGATGAGTGATGGTGGGGTCAATTTTGGAGCTTCAATTCTACTTACCCTGTATCATTGTCACTCACGTCATCGGTTCTTTCTTGGAAATAACCCGCCTGCATCAGCTGAGATCTTGTTCCGTTTTATCAATTATACAATAGATTTCTAATCTTAATACCTGGTCCCAATGGCCTCGACGGTGATTGTTGGAGGTGGCATAATCGGCATCGCGACAGCTTATTACCTCTCGGAACATCAACCTGGCTCAAGCATCCACCTTGTTGACTCGTCGGCAACGCTATTCGCCTCGGCATCAGGCTACGCTGGTGGATTTCTGGCGAGGGACTGGTTCCATCGCGATCTTGCGTCTTTGGGGGCACTGAGTTTTGACGAGCATGAGAAATTGGCAGAGCAGTTTAATGGGAGGGAGAAATGGTTGTATGCCAAGTCTGTGACCGTGAACTATGAGTTACCGAGAAGGAAACACAAGGGATCCACAGGCCAGGACTGGTTATGTGAGGGAGGGAGTCGTGCGGATGTGATAGAGGAGAGATCAGAGGTTAAAGACAGGAATAGCCCGCCTTGGTTGAGGCGTATCAAGGGTGATGCTCTCAGCTTGGTTGATAATGGTGAAGGCACAGCTGTTCTGTAAGTCACTCTCTTATGCTTATGAGACTGATGTATTCTAACGACCCATACATATAGAGACCCTTCAAAACTATGTCAGTTCCTCCTGGAAAGATGCCGAGCAGCGGGGGTGCGGATACATAACCCTGCCGTTGTTCTAAATGTAGGCGCCGACTGTCATGATGAGTTATCATATATCCGTATCGGTTTCACAGACTGCTCCTCAGAGACACATATCCCAGCTACGCGAATACTTGTCTGTGCTGGGGCATGGACCCCGAGTGTTTTGGAGTCCATGTTTCCCGGATCATCTATCAACATACCCGTGGTGCCGCTCGCAGGCCACTCACTCGTTGTACGAAATCCGACGGATATCGGCGATATATACCACTCTATATATACAAGCATGGACGATTTCTCACCAGAGATTTATGCTCGACCAAATGGACACATCTGGCTTGGTGGTGTGAACGCATCTCTCCGACTGCCACCGTTAGTAACAGGTGCGAAACCCATGGATGCGCCACTTGAGAAGTTGAAGAACCTGGCGAGGCAGATCATTAGAACCGAAGATGGCGAACTGGAAGTTTTACGGACAGGCTTATGCTTTAGACCTGTCTCGGAACGAGGAACACCCTATATCACACGCATAGAGGATGTAGATCTACGGCAAGGCTACAGGACACGGAAAGGAAGCGATGGTGGCGTCTATGTAGCGACAGGGCATGGGCCATGGGGGATCAGCCTGTCGCTAGGAACAGCGAAAGTTATGGCTGAGATGATGCAGGGAAGAGAGTTAAGTGCTGATATCAGTAAGTTGGGATATTGGCCGTGATCAAAGCTTGGGTATTTGAATTGGATACAAAGCAAGCCACACAGAGGTTCGGATATATGAATAGCATGATAGCATGGAGTTAACTGAAGTAGCTTTTTCATTACACCTGAAGCGACCGGTAATTTCCTTGCAACTAATCTATTAGACTCGCATTCATGCAAAGCACTCATATGACGCCTCCAGATCGTTCCATTTGGTAGCAAGCGACATCCTGGCGATAAACTCATCATAAACTCATCATAAGTTTATCATAAATTTATCATAAACTAAGGATATCTTATGATTTCCTTAGATTATATTAGCAAGAGAAGAATGCCAGCGCCTTTTGTTGGGACGAAATCCACGGGTACCGTGAGCTGTCAACTGATCCGCGATATACTCTGGCATGTCCTGCTGGAAACGAAGATTGGCGGCGTCCAGCTGAACTCCAGTGATAGCTTTGGTTGCCAGTGCCTTGTGGAAGTCTCGATACTGCGAAGGTATGTCCGACCACTCCTCCTCGTTGAACGTAACCGACAGTTCGAAGCCGGCCTCTCGCAAAGGAGCCGTCGCCTTTGCAAGCCCGATGAAGTCTCTCCATGGAAGATGCATGTGTATCTGAAGTTTCATCTTGTCCGCGAGTGCAACCAGCTCCTTCACCTAGAAGTAAAAATGGAATTCCGCGTTGGTCTTGGCACCGTGAGGATAATCAATCTCCTGCCAGGTGTTGAGTGACTCTGATCTGATATAACTCTCTTTTGCCAAAAGCATAACAGCTCTCGCGTGAAGTTGGGGCATTTGTGATCTGTTGAGGGAGAAGAACGTGTCACAATAAAGTGATAGTTCGTGAACGGACTCGTTGCAATAGAACACAAAAAGCGTTTTCGAGGCAGTTCGAGCAAAGGGGGGCTGATTTGTGCCCTTTTCCAGGGCCTTTACATAGCGACAAAGGTATTCATCGTATAATTTAGGCATGCCGTAAGCGAACAAGTCATTTGTGGCAGTGTCTTTGGTGTTTGGAGCTGGCATGGCCGAGCGAGTGTAGACTTCGACCCTGCGTTCCTCGGGCGAGATGTGGTTCTCTTCGTGATGCAGAACACCCGAGTCTGCTGTAGTAACGCCTGACCAAGACACCGGAATAGTGAAATCATGAGCTGCAGACCTTGAGTGGTCGATATCCATTGGGATGGTTTCCGCATGCACTGCATCAGCAGATTGGGCGGTGTCCTGAGAAGTAGCATGGAAGGACTCGGATCGCTTCCGAGGCGGCTACCTTATAATATCAGAGAAGTCTCATCAGGATTGGATAGTTGAGAACACTTACGCCGTGATGGAGATCCATGATGACCGATTTGATGCTTTTCAGGTGCGGAGTTGAGGATTCATGACTTCTCCTTTTTACAGAATGACGGGCGCACAAGTCTGAGATATATGTCAGGTACTGCGAAGGAATGAATGGAGAAAGAGACTTTATACAATTGGAAAAGACTAGGCTTACCAAGTGCCAAGTTTCGCACTTATTGAAGTGGCCGTGTGAAGAGAACGAAGACCTGGGTAGCTGTGTTAACGAAAGGTTCAGGTGTAAACATGAAGAAAATATAGCAACCGGAGCAAGAGATCAGTGAGGGGTAAGTTAATACAAATGTTCAGACGAAACTGCAAAACCGTGCTCTGCCAGGTCACGCACAAGTGACTGCCGCGTATAGGCAGCCTAACGTTCTGATAAATCGTCGTAGACTCTTGAAGGCGTGTTGAGATAGCCATTATGAAGGCATATTAATTCTATCCTAAATTGGCCCAAGTTTACCTAAGTTTATATAAACCTTCTCATCACTTAAGATAGAAATCCCTACTTTTCTACGGCTGTAGTAACCTCTTCGTAGTGTTGTTGACGTATTTCATATCATGTTCTGTTACAAATTTAATCTATCTTAAGTTTGTTTCATACTGTTGTGCTTTTGCATTAATAGAAAGCCTCTATTTCACGAGACAATCGCGAAGTTTCTTGATATCTTCGCTCCCAGCCCTACAGCATCCACCGACCAAGATGGCAGGCCACTTTCCTCTATCCTCCGTAGCCTTCACGACTGTCTCGAGTTGGCGTTCCCAAGATGAGCGCCTATGAGTCTCAACACCATCCGGCATCTCCCACTTTTGTGTGGTTGTGTTGTAAACCTCTCCATTAGTTCCGTCAGGGTACAGCACCAGAGCAGGCCACTCAGTAATCTTGCCGCTCTCGATCAAACCTGAGACCGTGCGCTCAAAGATTTGAAGGAGCTGGTCAAGCTTGTCGACCTTGGTGCAGTTGATACCGATACCCCACGGCAACTTGGATGAGATCTTGGGATCCAGCATGGCCTCCACAGCGGCCTCGATGGAGTTGCCATCAGGCATTTTGAGGTCTTTCTCAGGGGAGAGACATGCCGTCCAGTAAGGAAGATCAGATAGTGTTGGTGTCGCAGCGAGAGCTTTGCGCATGGCAACAATCTCGTCGACGCGGGGAATAGTCTCAAGGGCAACATAGCCCACTCGCTTCTGTATATCAGAAACCTCAGCGAAGACGCCCAATCGCTCACGGTGCCATGCCTCCAAATCAGCCAGGGAGCTGTGCTCAGCATCGTATTTCCCACTGTACTCCTGACCTGGAATCATGCAAGCTCCATAAGGCCCAATGCTCAACGCAACACAGCCCTTTTCCCCCACAGCACGCTGAGCAATACTAACAGCATTGTCCAAGAACCGAGGAACAGTTTCACGGGGAATGCCCTCGGGGAAATCCTCAGTGCGAGTGTCGGCGAAACCATGAAGCGAAACTTGATATGTCGCTGTGAGGAGCACGTCAACTGGGACAGCTCCGAAATCGCTCTGACATGATTGAAGAGTGGATTGGTCAGAAACAAGCAGATGAGAGGACCAGAGCGGCGTTGAACGGGAGAAAGTGATGGAGTACTTGGACTCGAGAGAGGTACCGAGACCGCCGTCAAGAATGAGAATTTTGGACGGCATTTTTATGTTTGGTTGTGGTTGATGAGGTTGAGTTTGTGCCCACTTCTGTCTAAAGAAAAGAGAAAACTAGTGGATTGTCAAGACGCCCTTTATCGAGCACGAGTCCTTAGTCGGGAATAACATCATCTAGTCAAAGAAAATTACTTATTATTGCAGAGTAAGAACTACTAATATCTATTCATGTAACGATCTGACTCGTGAAGTTATTCAATAAAATATTGCTGTCAAGTAATTCTCGTCTAATGCTTAATCGCAGACACCATCCGGCGATGCTGAATGAAGTTTTATTCGACTACCCCTCAAGTCATATGGATTATCTGAACGACAAAAAAGGGTAAAAGAATTCTAGTGATCAGTTGCTAGAGACATACATTCCGAGCTAATGGGCACTGTCCCTAAAATGCTGTATTTCGAGGACATTGCCACTCTATGTCCAGGCCCTTTACAGGCCTCTGTGTTCGCTGAAAGGTAATGAAGCATAGCTGATTGTATAGAAACAAGGGACAAGCCTTTAGTAAGTATTTGGTGAGTGTTCAGATTCAGCCTGAGTGCAGGGACATTGAACAAGGCTAGAAGACCTCACCTATTCAGTCATCTTGAGTGTTCGAAGATGCATTATCATTGTTCAAGACGGAAAGAATCCGTCAAACAGCTGCATGAAATATTTAAAGCGAACTCTCATTCACTGTCATTCCTATCTCTTGTCATCCTCAGATCAGTCTCATCCGATCGACGATATCGCCTATAACCATACAACTCGTCGACCGAGTCTCATCCTCCCATTACACAAAACAGGAAATGCCTCTCCGAAGATTCTCTGGTTGTATGGGATCCTCTCCCGACATCGATCAACACCTGACTATCGGAGTTTGCACGGAACCTATGGAAGGTCTTCCAAACCACTGGATTCTCATGCTCACCGATGCTGACGCCGAGTACGCAACATGTTACCATCCCTTGGGTGGCCCTTCGAGACGCAGACCCTGGGAACTTGTGATTGAGAGTGGAGAGCGAAGAAGCTGGGACGTCGACCGCTTTTCTTACGTCTCCAAGATCTCAGTGCGACATGCAAGACAGGTAAAGGCTTCTGCTAAGAAAATTCCATGTGAGTTTAGTCAAAGATAGGTTGTGAGAGTGCTCTGGGATCTAGAGCTGCAGAAAGTCATACCTCTTGGTACAGCGAAGAAGATCGCTCGAGATGTGGAGGAAGATCCCTATGCTGATGCATCGCCTATTGTGGAAGAGCATGAGGGTTTCCGGGATCAGATGTTCGACTGGGTAGAGAAGCATTGCTTGTCTAGGCTTGGGTCACCTAGACGATAAAAGTACTACATAGCGCAGGTCGCCGTTCTCTCTCATTTCTTTGAGTTTATGACAGGTAAGTCAAGGTATAGTATAGGCAACACGACAAATGAAATAAAGAGCTCGCCAGCCAGAAGACGAAGCATTGTCTCATGAAAATTCGCACTGAAGTCTACGAGTGATTATGCCCTGACTACAGTTCTGTATATGAAAGACGACCACGGTGAAATCAGGATCATAATGTTCGATGAAATTCCCTAAAATTTGAGAAAGTTGTCATAATTTAGGCCTTCTTTAGGATAAAATACCCTAAAACTTTATCATCATCGTCCTCTGTCCTGCACAGTCATAGCATACCGATAGCATCAAACGCTCTGTTCTTCTTGTCTCGGATCTCCATCACGTACTTTTCCACAGCACAGCACAGTCCTGGGCTCACCGTTCGCGAATAAAGGTAGGCTTCTGCTGTCCTAGTCGGTTAACTCGTTCAGCTGCTTGCTCTTCCCACGCTTTCTTCCACCAGGGTCCGCATCGAATGACGACATTTGCAAAGTGCATGTTAAAGTCTCTGGCCACCGGTACTTCGAATGGTTAGTAGTGTGTTGGTGATCGGATGGTATGCCTTCCTGAGCGCAATTGCCACGATGTCCAGGAACCACACGCTTTCATCGACCATGACAAATGAATCCTCAGGGTAAAGGTCGAGATGTTGTCGTACTGTATCGAGTATCGCCTCCACACGTGATGACAGCGAGTTGTCTCCTTGCTCCAGCTGCCGACACCACTCGGCAACCTGCTCGAGAGCTTGGTCGTCAGGAATGGCATCGTCCACATCTTCCTGTCTCATAAATTCCATAAGACCTCTGTGGGTCAGCTTTAGCTGCACTAGCATCGGATGGTAGGCGTGCTGCTGGGCCTGATAAGGTGCAACCATCCTGTGCCATCATGCTTCTTGCCTCGAGAGGCCTTGCCACGAGATTTGTGACCTTGTGATTTCTTATTGTTCCTCCTCCTCATCATCATGAGCCGCTTGAATTCTGCAAAGGAGTTGTTCCAACTTGACCTGTCTTTGGGGACGAGGGCGAAGAGTCGCGCAATGCCAGTCCTAGGCCGAAGGCGATCTTGGATAGTGGATATTGGGTTCAATAAGCAGGCTGCGTCGATCATCTGGACCTACCGGATCATATGTCTCCCGGTGGGATGTCGAGGCGCGTTCTTCCCAAGCTCTTTGAATGTACTCAGAAAGATATTGAAGTCGGCGATGGGATGCCTTTAAGCAGGCTCAGCAGGGCATATCCGTCCTCCCATGTGTTGTCCAGGGGCGTGCCTGTCAAGGCTAGACAGCCTTCGAATTGCCCACGATGGCAGCAAATGTGCGAGTGTTGCGGTTCTTGATGATATGAGCCTCGTCAAGGATCATGCATTTCCCGATCGGCTTCCATGGCTCGGACTCCAGGCTGCCAGAAAGGAGGACTAGCTTCGGTCTTTTTGGGAAGAGCAACGCCAGATCCGCACTGTAGACTTCGATGGCATCCTGGAACCTTGCAACACGGTTCACCTCTTCAGTATGATATGAATAGGACGCGATTGCGACTCTGTACCACCACAGGTTGAAGGGGGAAAATGATCCTCGAAAATGATCCTCCAAAACGCAAACGATCGGCTTGTGGACATGCCTCACGCTCTTCATCACAATGACGGATGCCCTTCCCTGATATTTGTCCACCAGTCTTACCGCATCAAAGAAGGCATCAATCTCCGCCATCCACTGGCTACAGCATGAGAGAGGTGCAACGATAAGTGAAGGCCCATCTCGGCTACCAGGCTTTTGCCCAGCCCTGGGGGTCTCCCAATATCATGCCCTTGAGAGGGCCAACGAGAGATCTCAAAGCGGCCTCCACAGCATGCTTTTGGTGATCGAACAGTGTATTGCCATACTTGAGGTCGGGTATACGGCCTGAGCGTGGCGCTTCGTTTTTGGCGATCTATTGCGAACTCACAATTAGTCAACTAGTCGATAATGGCGCCACGGGTTGAACTCACAATCATGTCGTTAAGGGTATTGAGGTATGCAACGATGCTTTCTTCACCGTAGTATTCATCTTCTTCACCCTCGATGCCCTCTTCATCACCGTTGGCGGGCGCATCAACGTGACCATTACTGTTATCTGCAGGGTCCTGGGTAGAGTTCTCCCTATTATCAATAGGTTGTGATGTTATGATAGAGTTTTCACGAGACTGAACAACGCCTTCACCACTCTCCATAAAGTCAGTGAAGAGAGAAGTGGTCTTTGGAAGTCGAGTTAAATCCAGGGCTTGACAGAGAGCGCAGATAGTTGGCAGGTTGTACTAGTTTTTGCTGTCAGATCCGGTTGAGTTGAAGAAGAAGGAGGAAATGATGATGAAGAGGGAAAGAAAATGCAAAAGAGCATACAATGAAATCCGAGCATGTTAATATCTACATAACGCCAAGCACCTGATGACAGTGAATCACAGTCAAATCAAGGGGCCATGCATAATGCTTGCTTAGTCAATCAGAATCACCCCTTTATATCAATTATTAAAAAGAAACAAAGTGTTTTACTACCAAGACAAAGCAAGCAATGACAAGAAGCCATTTCTGCAAGTGTCTTCATTATGAACCCTAGAGTATCACTGCCCAAGCCAACGAGTGACAGAGGATTAAGCATATCAGCCCAACAGCACGTCTAACATGAAACAGACGATCAACAAATCCCTCTAAGCTTTTAGCGTTACAACTTCTAGGCGGACCCATGGTTTTGACCTCCAGCTGGTGGGCCACGAAATCTGGCAACTCGTCGCTTAAGAGAAGAAAAGCATCACTATCTCACCAGAAAAGATTACAAGTTCACTATGTTTATTGAGCCTCTTTGCGTAGAGGAAGCAATCATGCTGGGAGCACAGATGTACTGCTACTGGCATATCTCAGGATTCCTGATGGAAGGACCAGATGTTGCCGCCCCTCGTAACCATGTCAAGTCGTAGTCTAACACGGGGACGAGTTGACGAAGACTAGCATTGCTTACTGACTGTCTCATAAGCTTGAGAAACTGTGTGAAGACGCCAACTCACCTGGAAAACACTCGATTTAGGATTCGGGAAACCTAGGATATTAAAGCTATACTGTACAAGCTGGACAGCCCAGCCTAGAAGTTCATTGTCCAGACACAAACTTCTAGCGAGAATGTATTCTTCTAATTGAATCGACAATCGCCGATGAAGAAGCAAAAGCACCAACATGCGAATGATATTGACGCGTTCTTCTCGTAAGTCCCCTGAATACGCCCTTGCTTCTGCCGTGTACACAACTGTATGCAAAGTCGTCGATAATAAGACCCAAGAAAGACAAGAGGGATCATCTCCCACGCTACGTCCTTCGATTTGCCTTGACAGCCAGCCTCAAATAAAATCACATTAACCGAGTTTCTCTTGGAGCTAGTTCTGGACCAGGTGAAGACTCTCGCTCAGCACTCTTGACTCTCGAACGAATGAACCCCAACATCCTCGCATCAACGAGCACTCGCTACTGAAGAAACTCGGTATCATTCGCCGATGTTTGCCCTATTCTGCTTGTCATCCGGGCACAGCTGCCTCGAATCGTCCGCCCAAGATCTTGTCGTAAAGTATGAGCCCTTTCTACAAAATGCTAACATAAATATGTTATTAAAAGCATCTCAGCGCCTCGCGGTCAACATTCATAAGGCAATGTCTTTGACAGAACAGCTGAACACTTTGAATGGTACACTGCATCGCAAATTTTGCTGCCATTGCGGAACAAATGGGAAACCACGGTAGTAAATGAACTAGGTACCTGAGCCAAAGACCTAAGTTTAGGATAAATTTACCTAGATATTTTGTCACTTTAGGATGGAGATCGTAAGTAACAGGGCTTGTTGGATCACAGTAGTCCACGGCTGCATTTCAGCAATTTATCTTGTCCATACTTAGCAATTGGAGTGAATTGTCGATTTGAGGCTCGTTTTGTGCCTGTTAACCTTGTTGCCTCACCGTTTGTAGAGCCGTTGATTGAACAACGGTCAAGACCTCAATCCGTCGAGATAAGGTCTCCGATCTCGTACTTATCTCTACCCTGGCCAATGACTTGATTCAATCACGTAGCTTGTGCTGCCATTGGCGTCGCTGCTCAACGGTAACTGGCTCGATTTCCAGACAAGCTCATTTAAGGTTGGCGTACGTCAGGGCAATCCCATCACAGCTGAAACCCGCCGCAGGGCGTTAGCTTCCCTTCTGGTGACGGGAAGCTCCCTGAAATAGAGGCCCCCGACCACCTTAAATACTGGGGAGCTCTGCATTTCGCCTCTATGCCAACGTCATCAACGACAAGCGGGCATCTTCACCTCCACAACAAACACAGCCCGTGATGGATTTCTCCGACTTTGAAGTCATCGACCCAATCGCCGAGTTTGGCCATGAGAGCAGCGATGATGAGGATGCGCAGCCTCCGTATGCGCATCTTCAGGGCGGTCATCCCCCGTGGCAGGGCCATGAGGGCAAGCTAGTCGGTGTTGTTGACATGGGCAGGTGAGAAAGTAGAGACAATCCAACGGCTGCAACAAAGAAACTGACCAGTGATGCCATCACCAGCAACGGAATTCGTCTCTCAATTTCCGACCTTTCGAACCCATTGGCTCGTATGCTTCCTACCGTCTACCAGTATCGCGCCTCCATTTCTCTGTACGACTCTCAATATGATCCCGAGACTGGAGATCAGATTCCCATCCCCGACGATATTATTGAGTCAGTCGTTTCAGTCTTGAGTCGGTTCGTTGTTATTTGTGGCGACTTCCGATGTAAGAAGGAGAATATCCATGTCATCGCGACCGAAGCCACCCGCGCTGCCCTCAATTCGAAGCAGTTCTTGGCTACTATCAAAGACAAGACTGGCCTGACAGTTGAGCTTCTACCCAAAGAGGAAGAAGGCCAGATCGGTGCCCTCGGCATCGCCAGTGGCTTCTCTAACATGGAAGGCCTGGTGATGGACCTTGGCGGTGGTAGTACCCAGATTACCTGGATGCTCAGCTCGGGCGGACAGGTTCGCATGAGTCCCAAAGGCAGCTTCAGTTTCCCATATGGGGCTGCTGCTTTGACCAAGAAGCTCCACGATCTTCGTGACGGTAAGAAGAAGGATGAAGCCGATGCAGCTGTCAAGGCTTTTGAGGAGGAAATGATCGCCAACTTCAAGGACGCATACAATAACCTGCAGATCCCCGCCGAGATGACCGAGAAGGCTGAGAAGGAGGGTGGGTATCGTATTTATCTCTCTGGAGGTGGTTTCAGAGGATGGGGATATCTGCTCCTGTACCTGAACCAGACCGACGGCAGTTACTATCCAATTTCCATTATCAATGGATATACTGCCAAGCGCAAGCAGTTTGAGGATACCGAGGCTCTCAAGCATGTCGCCCATGCCGCGAAAGACATTTTCCGTGTTTCCGATCGTCGAAGATCTCAGGTTCCCGCGGTCGCGTTCCTTGTCAATGTTCTTTCAGAGTCCATCCCTGGGGGTATTAGAGAGGCACACTTTTGCCAGGGCGGTGTCAGAGAAGGCTTCCTCTTCCGCCAGCTTTCACCATCTATTCGAGCTCAGTCTCCCTTGGAGGTCGCTACAGGCTACTTTGCCCCGGGTTCGCGACATCTCATTCAGCAGTTGCTCAAGAACGCAATCCCGAAACCTTCTAAGAAGAAGGAATTCCCAGAGGAGTTCGGCGAGCCTGTTGTTGACTCATTCGCCAATGCGATGTATCTGCACATGTTCATGAGTAAGGAGACGGCCTCGACGACGGCTCTGTACTCAACCAGTGTCGGAAACATGTCTGCGATCCATGGTGTTTCGCACCAAGATCGAGCAAGGTTGGCCTTGATGCTCGAGTCCAGATATGGCGGTGAACTTCCTCCTCGTGAGCTGGAGTTCCGAGAGTCACTTCGTGACATGCTCACACCTGAGGAAGTCTGGTGGGCATCATATATCGGCAGGGTCGGACAACTCATCACCGCGCTCTACCCAGCCGGTAAGATCCACAAATCGAAGCCACGCGTCGTGTTCACGTCTCAGTGGTCGTACACTTTGGGCAAGAAGAAAAATAAGGAAGGTCTTCTGCTCACAATCTCGGTACAGAAGACAAACGATGACCCAGCAAGAACAAAAGAGACTGTCAAGGATGCAGCTAGTGATGTGGAAAAGATTGGAAAGAAGAAGAACTGGATTGGAGATGATGAGCCCTGGGGAATGAAGGTTAAGGTCAAGGTTGTGGAGGAGGGCATTCTCTTCGAGGAGATGGAGAAGCTCAAAATGTAGGATATCATGATCTTTGTTTCGGAAATTGTCGAAAAGCATAATGGGCATGTTTTGGGAACTGTCAAAGGGCATATTGGAAGGTAATGGAAGGGCAGAATGTATGATGGTACTGATTAGCTGATTTGGAACAAACTGAGTGTGTTTCGTCCTTTGCCCACTGTCGTCCTCGTTATACTCCCGGCTTACCTTTACTCTAACAACCAGCACACACCCTGAATGAGATCCTGTAGCCACTCCTTGGAAACAGGTAAGTCAGGGCAGGTCGTCCAGAAGCCATGAGGTAGCCCTGAATAGATGTGTGATTTGGTTGACAGCCCGGCTTCTTGGAGCAGTTGATCGAGAAGAATAGCATCGTCCCGACGCGGATCCCAACCGCAGATTGCAAAGTATGCTTTATTTGCTATACCAGCGTGGGAATCGAATAGAAGAGGAGACAGTCGCTTGTCTGTTGGGGGAGCACCGTATAATCCTGTTGCATGATCAGCCCTGAGTTAACACTTTTGTGGGAGAAAGTGTACCTGCGAAGTAGTCAATTGACTTTCGCGTGAGGCCAGGTGCATCATTAATCTCATCCACGCTCAGAATACGATCCAGATACTTCTCTGGTCTCACATCTGGGTGGCAGAAGCTCCCAGCGAGGAACACGACACCAGTGATTCTTGGAGAGAGGCCCTCGTCGCGAGCCAAATGCGATATTCCGGCAGTAAAGTTGGCGCCAGCAGATGTGCCACCGAGAATAAATCCCTTAGATAAGTCCGTGCCGAGTTTCTCCTGGCCTTCTGGCGATGCAGCCTGTACAGAATGTTAGCTTGTGATAAGGTAGTTTGCTGGCGCTGTGTCTTACCCAACGGACGACGTCGAAGCTATCTTCAAAGCCAATGGAAAACTTGTGCTCAGGCGCAAGTCGATACTCGACACTTGCAACAACGACAGGAATTTCCAGCGCAAGTGCTCTGCATGTTACGTCGTCTGTTTCAAGACCACCCGTGACATATCCACCGCCGTGCATGTATAGGAATAGAGGCAGGGCATCGTTGCGAGCAGTTTGACGGTAGATGCGCAGCGTGATAGACGTGTTATCACGCACAGGGATATTTATTTCGTAAATATTGAGACCTTCCTGTGGAATAATCGGATCATGGTCTCTGGTCATGCCCAAGCTTGGTTTTGTGCCTGGGGGGAGATTGTTTGGGAACTGATGGGGTCAGTAACAATATCATGAAGTTTGCACATGACTTAGCGTACATCGACCCATTCGGGATGGGGTGTTGCATAATGTCTATATTCTGCCATTTTAATTATGCAATAGAAATGATGGTTTGATTTACTAATAGATGTGCGAAGGTGAGTGCTGTGTTTAAATAACTGCCCTGAGATCTATACGAGGGCGAACTCGGAGTCGCTTTGCTGATCCTTGCCTCCCGGGTTGGAGACGCAGGACTAGTTCAGCTACTGATCATCCTAAGGATCCGAAATCTTTGGTCATTTGATAGATTATCTTATCTGATCGTACTGTTATGGTAGTCTTGTCTAGTGCCCTTGCTTACACATGCAGCCTCTACTTGTCCTAGCATGAAGCCTCTTCTATGACACTTCCGATGACGGCTCAAAGGATTGAGGTTTTACATAGAATGTTTCCCCTCTGTTATCGTCGTTTCATTTTCCACGTCCAGAGCTTGCTCTGCTCCTTCGTGTGTTTCTCCAAAAAGGGCGCTTTCTCCAACCCATCAGCCTGAGTCTTCCAAATCTTCTTCCCCATGGCGACATACTTCTCCCCAAACTTCTCAATCTCCGCCAACGCAGTCTCTCTAGTGACTCGATGCATCTCAGCGTACTCTTCATCAGTACCAAACGTCGCAATCTTGTATCTCTGCTTCCACAACGCAACCATCTCCTCCGCAAAGGCGCTTTCAGCTTGTATGTTCTTTGCGACAAGATAAAACGAAGACCTGATCCTGTGGTGCTTGTGGTGCTTGTACAGTTGAATCGTTGCCATTTTGCTGAACTGATGGATCAAGTTAAAGCTTCGCCAACTGTCGAGCTTGTGCATCAGAATCACCATCGTACCGTCGTTCTTCAAATGTTCGAGACCCAGAGTAATCTGTGTAAGAGTTAGGCGAGTAGCTTCCCGGGGCTCTCGCCATTCCGCACGGGGGTGAGTGCGCAGGACTTGACCATCGCAGAAGACGAGATCAAACTTCTCATTATCGCTCAAGACCTTTTCGAAAAGGAAGTCATATGGTCCTGGAAAGTTCAACGGAACGTCGTCTTTGGTAATACCCATATCAGCTGCCAGAGTTGTGATGTCGCGGTACTCCACGTCCACTTTTGTATCGAGGATCTTGACGGCGTGTCCACCTTGCTCAACGGGGAGACTCATGGCTCTGATGTAAATATCAGGATTCATGGTCATGGCCGCGGCCGTGTCAACGAAGCCACCTGGTGCTACACACATGTCTAGCAAAGCCGGCTGTTCGACTTCATCCAGATTCAGGACATCAGTTGCTCTATCGAGGTCCATTGCGATGGTCTTCATCATGGCGTAGAAGAAATCTGTACTGCTCGCACTGCATTTATCTGCGACTGCTCGTTGTTTCTTGAAGTGGTCGTCGCCTCGACTTGTCTCCCAGCCCTGACTTTCTCGTTAAACAAATCTCCTTGCTCAGTATCTTTGTGAAAGACAAACCTTTCTTCTCAACTCATGGAGACGGCGAAACTCCTCGACATTCTCCAAGAGATAATCGCGGATAGTCTCTTGAGCAGATCTCTCAGGCTCTGAAACTTCGGGCCTGGCTTGCATCATTGCACGTGTCTTTTCTTGCTCTTGTTGTCCAGTGGTAGCATGTCCGCCATGGCTAGAGCTTGGAGTGTCAGCGTCGGAGGGCATGTTGGAGGCTAGAGATTCGCTACTAGATACCAACAGTTTGAGTAGAAGTGAGATTAATTTTCCATAAAGTTTCAATGGCATTTATACCTTCACAGAATGCTATCATCTTACGTATTTCTGGAGGCCTATTTCCGTTGTTCCAGTTTTTGCCCATTCACCAAATGGACCAACAAGCAACAGGCCAGTAACCGTTGGTGTTTGCCAACGAGGTCGGCCTCCAGCATAGAGACCATACCACACCATGTAACGCAGCACCAAGGCTCTCCCGAGCACAAAAACTTGGTTGGAAATTGTTCTGTAGTCATTGATTGGTCCTAAGTCTCACGAGGTCACCAACACAGGCCGGTCGGCCCCTTCATCGCCACTCGGAACACAGACGGTTAGATATTACAGCAGGTTTTGGGTGAAATAAAGTAGACAATTCACTTCCGGATTGTTGTTGGTTGATGACCTGGCTCTTTGTGGCTCTGCCAATCGATCATAGATACAATATAAAAGCTGTAAGCAACAAAGCAATGAGTAGCATTACATTCAGTGTTAATCCTTAGACAAGATAAAACAACGGAGACACTTGGATATAGTCATTGCAGTCACTGCAAATATATGAAGCTGGAGTGGCTGGAAATCAAGTCAGGTGCAGCCCTTACTTTAGCAACCGCTTATCAAAATTCGCAAGCAGAAGTCAAGTAGTCTGTGTTAAAACAGTTAAGCCAGCTCGTAAATATTTGGGTATCGGGTATCAATTCTAAACAGCTGTTGATTGGCCATCTTGGGGAGGTTCGATCTTCTTGATCTTTCTATATCCTTCTCGCATTTCTGTCTTCTTGAATCTTGTTGAGTAAAGATAATGAACAATAAACCACTGATATACGCAGAACAGACTATAAACTGTTAGATAAAAGTTGAGAGTCAGTAGGGAGGCCACTTACAATGCACAAATGCCAAAACAGCCACAAGCAATGCTAAGGTTGTCAAGCATTGCTACTGTTCCAGTAGATATGTCACCAACAAAGCCCGTCCTCCGCTTGTCGAGGTTTGACTCATTGTACGCATCTATATCCTCCCGAAGAACAAATATGACGGTGAGGGCGGCAAGCCACATCAGAGTTGAAAGAGCCAGAATCAAAATATACCATATTGGCGGTCTTGGGTTGTTGCGGCCTTGTGGCTTCACTGGTATCTTGAAAGCAAAGAAATGAAGGGCTCCCTGAGTCTGATCAGCAAGCTTACATATGTATACTGGTGATTGAACCTACGACTGCAAGATTGTACGCCGATGCAGCAAGCAAATTATGTCCCGCGTGTTTAGATATTATCCCGGCTGAAAGCCCAATAAAGCACACGAAGCTATCCACCTCCCGATGTCTGCTTTAAAAGCATCATCATAAAGTTTCTTAACCGGATTCGTCTCCTTCTCTCTCCCCAGCATATCCCTGACGATTTCGCCCAGTGGCATAGGACATATTGGACTCGACATGGCTGGATGTGTACATAGGTAAGCTGCAGATGAGAAGGATCAGGTGGTTTTTGGGCCGCCGCCGCGTAATCTAGTGTTTTATGGCTGTGGTCTTGGCTGGCCAGGGGATGTTGATCCAACATGACGCTAGGCCAAGGGTCAAAATTCCATCTTTTGGCCTTGGCCCTCGTCACTAATTCCGTTTGCACTGCCACTGTGAAATTGGCGGTGCCTGGGCTTCAATCATTCTGTGTCTTGGATCAAAGGGCCAAGCAACTGCTCGCGTAATGGTCTTATTTAGGGTTTTAATGCCAAGAAGCTTTGTATTTGATCATGGAGTAATTGAAGATATTCACAACTAGAGTTTGTTTGAAGGACCTCGTTTTTTTGTAGTAGCTACTTGAAGAGATCCACAACTACTTTTTGGCTTGTGAAAAGCTGTTTTCTATTGGTCTAATGAAGTTTACGAAATGATAATAGAATATGCAGGTAACTATCTAATCTTGGCTGTGGTTCATCATTCGTACAGTTCAGATTTCAAGTGCGGAATTAAGAGTGCGGAATTAAGGGATGCTTATGATTAAAGTCCCCGTGAAACCGATCGCATTTTAAACCAAATGCAATTTAAATATCACCTTTAACCTCGTATTATTGCCCAAAAGGGTATGATACGGCGCTGCGAGGATCTACGACAGCTCAGCTGTGTATGGATGTACAGTAAGAGGCTGTGCTTAAGGCTGAAATTCCAAGTACACCCTCCAACTAAGCGCTTATGCTTATCTTTATGCAAATCCCAGCGCATTATTTCCCCGAAGCTGACGACAAGACGGGGCTCATACACGTGGAATGTGATTTGATAGGTGCTTGTTGGCCAGTTATCTGTCAATCCCCCATATCTAAACGAATTTGGCTGTATCTGCGAGCTACGACGGAGTGGCTGGGAGGAGAACGCCTTAGTGGCCGTGTCTTGCAGATTGGTTGTCACACAATCCTACTCAATACGGAGATATGTGTTTGGTGAGTGTCTTGATGTCGTCTTACTCGTATATAAGCCCCGGGCCTCCTGACTCTCAGTATCTTCTAATTCATCTCTCACTACTTACAATCACTTGATCTGGCATCTACGCAACAATGGGTGATAAAAACGAAACATGGACACCAAGCTACGACAACTGCGATAAAGTCTCGGATCGTTGCCCCGTCGAGTACACCATCTACCAAGACTATCTCTCCGAACCAGCCTCAGGATTCTTCGCGATCGCTTTTGCACTGCTCTTCCTCGCACAAATATTCCAGGGGTTTCGGGCAAAAACATGGTCGTACATGATATGGCTGGGCATCGGAACAGTCTTTGAAGTAGCGGGCCATGTTGGACGCTTCGGACTAGGAAGAAATCCATGGCAGCAGAATCTCTTTATCGTGCAGTACCTAACACTTTTACTGGCTCCCACTCTGGTTGCTGCTGCTATATCAGTGACATTCAAGCATCTTGTTGTTTGGTACGGAGCAAAATGGTCTTTTCTCAAGCCCAGGCTATATCCCCTCGTCTTTGTCGGTACAGACTTTATCTCGATTTTCGTTCAAATTATTGGAGGTGGCCTCACTGCTATGCAAAGTATGGGCAAAGGATCTAAGACGACACAAAAACTTGGAGAGGCTCTTGTCATTGGCGGTGTCGCCTTTCAAGTTGCAAACATGTTGTGCTGTGGTGGTCTGATGCTTCTTTACGCTCGACGTCGAAAGCAGGCAATGAAACATCGAGACCCGTTGATGGGAAACGCGACTGATATGTACACAACTGGCATGCCAACTCGTGGGAGAGTTCCTGTTGCTCGAGAGGAGGCTACGCTAAAGGAAGCGAAAAGAGTCAAGTGGTTTGTCTATGCCCTGGGTATTGCTTATACCTGTATCATCATCCGATGTGCCTACCGGTAAGATTCTATCGACACTCATTTCCCTACACTAGCTAATTATTACTTAGTATTGCCGAGACTGTGCCTGATATTGGGGTTGATGTCCTCCGAAACGAAACACTATTCATCGTGTTCGACGCAACCATGATGTTGATTTCCATCGGCGCTGTGACGATCCTCCATCCCTGCTTCTTCTTCCCTTATCTTGGGCTGAGAAAGAAGCAAAAGAATCAAAGCAAGGTCTATGAGGGTTATAGAATGGAGAGTAGTTTAGCGTTGGTTGGGCAGCAGCAACACCCGCAGCAACAGCAAGGATATGCTTGAGATTGATTTCCGGTAGTTTAGAGCCGATTTCTAAATCAGAAGTGTCTTTTGAGTGGGCGAGTTATTTCATGCCTGTTGGGCTACCTTATATGGTGTATTTGCAATTGAGACTTGTGGCTGAGAGCTTATTCTGGCGGATAGAACTTGGTATTTTATAGATTCTAGGGGCCCCAAGATTTTTAACTTCATTCATACAGAACAGACAATATCATGTTTCTTTTGGTAGATCTTAATATAGCGCTCCCCTCATCGAGTAATGACTTCAGTTCCAAGGACAGGCTTTCGGCTTTCAAGACCAAGGATCAAAGCCGCGATTGGTTGCAGAATCTTGCAACCGTTATCAAATTAGAAACTATTTGACCATCGAATTTGACTATTTTATGACAATATTACGTTAGCGCCTTCCTATAGAATAGTAGCCCGAGTCCTTTGCATTAGCTTAAACTCTGGAATGGCCGTGTTCTGCTTATCCATGTGACTCGGATTGATAAACCACGGCCAGACCGGATATCACAGCCGATGTATCATTTGATGTCTGCCATCTTTTCCTACGTCCGATGTCGCCTACGACCTGCGCCCTACAAGAACAATAATAAAAGGAAACGAATGAAGATGATTCAATAAGCACTATCAAGGTTCGAAAGGCGCAGTGTAACATTCACTAGAAGGCGCACTTTGTTGGTTGTTGTATAAATATCAAGTACTCTCTCCAGACATTGCATTTAGTTCCCTTCATCTCACTGCAAAATCAACCTGAGGAATCTACTGTTCAATGCCACAGATCTCACTCGAACTCGCTACTTCCAATGGAAATGTGTCTGAGGACGCAGTCCAATTACAGAACCTCGATCAACGTTTCGAGTCTCGAGCAACAGATGCCGAGTTCTCACTACCTCCAGTGGATGGTGGAAGAAAGGCATATCTATTCTTAGCAGCCTGTTGGGTTGTTGAAGCAGTGACATTTGGTAATGTCCCTTATCTATAAGGTTCACGAACATGAGTTAACAAAGATACCAGGTTTCGGGTTCTCATTTGGCGTCTTTCAAGAGTACTACAGTCACCATGAGCCTTTCGCGGGCTCAAACAGCATCGCTGCTATTGGAACCACAACGACTGTAAGATACTTGCAAAGTTACCCTTCCCAACTCTAACATTGCCCAGGGCATGCTATATCTCGGAGCACCATTCGTGGTCATTATATGCCGCTTTTACCCTCGCCAGGCTCGCTGGTTTACCTACGCAGGTCTCTTCGTGACATCCCTAGCCATGGTCATGAGCTCCCTTTGCACAACTGTTCCTCAACTCATAGCAACACAAGGAGTTCTCTTTGGAGTCGGAGGCTGCTTCGCTTACTGTCCTTGTACTCTGTACATCGACGAGTGGTTCGTTCGTCGAAAGGGCTTTGCTTATGGAATTGTCTGGAGTGCTGCTGGAGCCGGAGGTGCTGTGCTTCCTCTGATTCTCGAAACGCTCCTCAAGAACTTTGGCTTCCAAACCACTGCTAGAATATGTGCGGGTATCTTATTTGGGGCTGCAGCTCCGATCGCATATTTCATCAAGCCTAGACTACCACTTTCGGCCGCTATCCACAGGAAGCCTCTGAATATGCGGTTCGTCACATGCAGAGTGTTTCTTCTATATCAACTTGTCAACGTCGTCGAAGCAACAGGCTACTTCCTCCCTACCATCTACCTGCCCACTTATGCTCGGACAACCTTTGGTACCTCAACTATCCTCTCAGCTTTGACCGTTATTCTTGTCAATATTGCTACGACAATCGGTCTGATGGTAATGGGATCCCTTAGCGATAAGCTTGCAGTTACGACATGCATGCTCATATCTGCAGTAGGCGTGGGTATTTCCGTCCTACTTGTCTGGGGACTTACAGCATCTCTCCCTGTCCTGTACGTTTTCTGCGTCATGTACGGTCTCTTCGCGGGATCCTGGGCCTCGATCTGGCCAGGGATTATGAGAGAAGTGACGCAGAAATTTCAGGATCAAAACGAGCACGTTGACCCTGTCATGGTGCATGGACACCTCTGCGTAGGCAGAGGAGTTGGAAACATCGTCTCCGGACCATTGAGCGGTTCTCTTATACGAGGTCAACCATGGCAGGGAAAGGTTATTGGGGGTTATGGAAGTGGTTATGGCATTCTGATTTTGTACACTGGCCTCACAGGCTTGGTGAGCGGTATGAGCTTTTTGTGGCGATACGTGAATTTTTTGTAAGGGATGAAGATTTCTGGAAGCTGAGTCTATCAAAATACAAAGTATTAACGGCGATATCTGGATTCGAGCGTGTCACGCTAAAGGTGATTTGCAAGGCAACCTGATTGTTGTTATGAGACGCATACCAGCCTTGATCATGAAGTAACAGTGCTTGGCATTGATCAGAAACTTGAGAGCTAGGAACTGACGAAGGAAGAGTAAAAAGTTGGGGCGCTGTATTTTATGAAGCTTCGCTTATACTAAGTACAGATGCAACGAGTTGACTGGCTTTCATGCTATGAAAACTTTCACCATAACGTTCATTCACCTAAGAGCTCTTCCCTTTGATGTGATAGACTGTTTGCTAGCGAGGGTGCGGATGGAATGCTCGTGGCAACAATGAGCGATGAGAGTATTCGTGAACACGAGCGAACTCAATCTGTAAAGCGCTAACTGCCCTCCAAGAATCGAGAGGAGACGTATCCTCTTTAGAGTTGAGAGAACGTTTCTCAATCTTCAGACTCATCATGACCAGAGCCCATATGGCCAAATTAGCTGTCAACGTACCCTCACCCAATGTGTCGCATGGAATAGCCTTCTAGTACACTCCCATTTTCCCAGCTTTGGCCTTGAAGAATTGCAGGGCGACGATCTCTCTATCTCCCAGGATAAACGAGAAACAAGTATTTGTTTTTTTGGCACAGGCAGCCAATTGTTCGATAGGACCAATGTTGGGTTGGTTGTTACGATTTGCGTTGATGAGGGAGCCTGACTCCCAAGTGCAGGAGGGTACGACGATGGCGGTAGCATGGAAGGGGTTATTGCCTTGTGATTCTTCGTTAAAGATGACCAAAACGTGATCCTCGTTGCCGAAATCCAAAGCTTGAGCATGCTTAGGGAGTATCCTCCTTAGATGTGTCGCTTCTATACATCTCAGAACCGGTTCTGTTTTCAGCCTGTCACCGATGACGTGTTTGCCCAAACAGATGGCTTCCTTCCAAGTTGGGGAGGGCAAAACGAACTCCGCCATACAAGCATGTGCCATCGTGCAATGATTCTCGAAATTGTCCACTGGCACCACACCCGATGGGCTGCAGGTTGCAGGATAATCTAGAATATCGCCGTATGCCTCCAGGATGTTGAAAAATGTGAATTCAGTCCAAGGAAGAATCTCGGACTTGTCCACCGAAGCCATTTCGCAGCCATCGTAAACTAAACTTCGGAAAGGCTTAGAGAGATTGATGATGGGTCTTCTCTGCGCAAGGAGGGAGCCAAGCTTGGGACGGTTTGGCAGTTGGTTCATGTTGGGTTTTGGAGGTCTAATGATCTGGTTTATGACGAGTAAGGACAATTAGAAATGGTATGATGATCACTGAAAAGTTTTGAAGCTAATGTTGCTTGTGTCAAGAGTGATGATGACGATGCTGATGATGGTGATGATGATGAAGAAGAGAAGAAAAGAGAGACAAGAGTCAAAGAGATGTAAGGTAAGTTATCCTGACTACCTGCCTAGGTGAGGCCCAAAATACATCGCTCCTTACTTCTCCAGTACATAAACCAAAAAGGGATGTCTCTATCCACTGACCTCAACTTCCCTGAATGGGTAGGTAGGCACCCATTTTGAGTAAGGTAATCAAGACGGGATTCTGAACAACTGGATACCACCTGCCAATGTTTGAGCCTTTTGATCATAAGTCCTTGGAGTACTATAGGTTAGTAGCTTAAGAATGGCAGTTTGCAATGATTACATTCCTTTATCGAGTAGCTCGGACCTGACGGAGTCTTGTGACATGAATTTCGGACAATCACTTTGTTAGATACTGGAGCCATGGATGGTCTCGATAAGGCAGATGGATCTCAATGAGCAAGAAAACATCGGGGGTGGATAAAATTTATTAAAATAAACTCAGAAAAGGGTATCTTAAGCCTACAAAGGATATCCTGAATTTAGCAAAGCTATCATAAATTTATGCTAATTAAGCTAAATTCTTTTTATCATTGAGGATGAAGGTCCTGAGATTTCTTTCCTCCTTACATTGGTTTTTATTAACTAAATGCTTGCGTCTTTACATAGTTACGGTATTTATGATCATGCTTTGTTATGCCAATAAACAAACAGTCTACGATTTGTACTAATATAGGCTGCTTCGTATCTTCCGAGTTCTTATCAAACCCCGCGCCGGGAATACTTGCCAACTCTGTTTGCATTACCTACCACCTGACGATGGCACTAGATATCCGTGGACCCCTCACATTTCAATTATCCTCAGAACTTTTACCCTGACTCTCATATCTACGCTTGTTCATCGTCAATATCCAAAGATAATACCATGGGCCTCATCTTGGTTACTGCTCTGGGCTTGCTGCCCGTTTTCCTGATTCATAGATACATCATCTATCCTGTCTTTTTCTCCGCGCTGTCTCGTTTACCCGCACCGCACTGGACATGTCATATCAGCCCTCTCTGGATATTAGCAGCAAGGAAGCGGAGGCGAGAGAATACGTCGCTGTATCGTGCACACCAAAGGCTTGGTCCAGTGATTAGAATTGGTCCAGATGAAGTGAGTGTCGACGGTTTAGAAGGCATGCGGACCATATATCAAGGGGGGTTTGGGAAAGGTCACTGGTATAGCGTCTTTGATAATTATGGGTAAGAGCATCAACTTATGGTACTGGACTATTGGCGATGAAACTAATATGACCTTCTGTAGAGTCCCAAATATGTTTGCCACTGGCAATGCAAAGCCTCACTCCCTGAGAAAAAGGATGATTTCCAACGTCTACTCCAAATCTTACATACAATCATCCCAGGCAAGCAAATTGCAAATGGCCGAGATACTCGTCAGCCGCCTCTTGCCCGTACTCGACGGGTCTCTTAAATCTTCCCATAAGTCGATATCTACAGATTATAATGATATTGAAGTGTTCGGTCTTTATTTAGCAACGGCCATGGATCTTATCACAGCCTACATATTTGGTCTCTCTAACGCTACGAACTTCATCTCCGATGAGCCTTATCGCCGTGACTGGCAGGACATGTATCTTGCACGGGCCAACTACCCTTTCTGGACGCAAGAAGTTCCAAGGTTGACAAGCTTCTGCAAAAGATGGATTCCTTGGCTCAAGCTCTATCCGCAGTGGGTTGATCAGTCCAATAAAAAGCTCTCCGATTGGAACTGGGAACTCTGTGAGAATGTCCGGAAGACATCCAAGGTGACAAGAAGCCCCAGTAACAGTCAAGGCATTCAGCGATCGGACGAGCCAGTAGTCTACAACTCACTGCTTGCTGGTATAGATCGGGAGTTTAAGACCAATGGAGAAGAGAGCATTCTGTACACTACGAGCATTCTTCAACGAGATCGAGCCATTGCGTCTGAGGTTATGGATCACTCTCTGGCTGGACAGGAGACGGCTGGAATTGCTCTCACTTATGCAACATGGCATATTTCAAAATCTCCGGGACTTCAACGACAGCTTCATGCTGAGGTCCAGTTGCTTAAGCCATCTTTGGTGATTAACCCTAAAGCTGCATCTGGACTCACAAACACGTTGGCTTTGCCAGATCCTAAGGACATCGATTCCCTACCGCTCTTACACGCTATTGTCACCGAGACGCTGCGTCTCCACGCGCCTATTCCAGGACCTCAACCACGCCAGACACCTGAATATGGGTGTAAGATAGCAGGGTATTATATCCCCGGTGACGTGAGGATCGCATCACTGGCATATACGCTACACCGGGACAAAGAAGTGTTCCCCGAACCTGAGGAGTGGAAACCAGAGCGTTGGATATCACAAACCCCTAGGAAATCACCAGATGATGAGGGGAGGCATCGCGAGATGCAAAGGCTTTTCTGGGCTTTTGGAAGTGGTGGACGGATGTGTGTCGGCTCCAACTTCGCCATGAACGAGATGAAGTTTATTTTGGCGTTCATCTACGCCAACTTTGAGACTTCCATTGTTGATGATGAAGGTATCGAGCAGGAAGATGCGTACACGGCGAGGCCAATTGGCGAGAAGCTGGTCATCAGGTTTACTCCTTTGAAGAAATGAGACGTAAATCCAATTTGGACAATCATTTATCTCTCCCTATATATACATATGTTTCTACATATACATATATACCTTTTGCTTTTTCTTTTCAACAAAGTCACCCCACGCTGAGCTTGAGCAACACTTGAACGGTCACCAAGGCTGTTGAAAGCAGAGACTATTATCAATTGGGCTTGGCTACTTGAAGTTCATGATGATTCCATATCATCAGAGTTTGGCGGTTTAAGGTTCTAATCAACATTAAGTGCTTAATGACTTTCAAGGCCAGCATATGCCTTGGTTACTTGTAGGTAAGGATGGAATAATACATAACAATAACTTATTTACATCGAATGACGGTCGACGTTCATATGCCTCTCTCTTTGTGTAGCCTTCTCTCTTTAGATCTCAGAAATCACCTTGACGGTGTGGTGCGAACCTAACATCATTACGGAGTACCAGTATATAGTCTTACAAACTGAAATTCACCAAAATAGGAATGGATTTGCAACAATAGTTGTTGAAAGATTCCACCAATCGCTGCATCACCGCCATTGTACCAACTAGGTAATTCGATTCCCTCTTAGCGACTCGAATGCTGTCATTGGAGGATATTTCAAACTCCATGTAAGTTCTCCTAGGGATCGTTGTACATAAAGGATGATAGCCCCGGTGTACCTGAAGCACGTCAACTCAAGATTTTTATACTCAATAAACATGAGAATCCCGTTGCTGTTGGCTTTGACGGCCAGTTCCGTGGTTCAAGCAGCCCAACTTGCATTCCCCGGAGCTGAGGGCTTTGGTAGGTATGCAGTTGGTGGTCGTCAAGGGGAGGTATACAAAGTGACAAACCTCAAGTAAGCTAAAGCCTCCTTTCCTGTTCATATGAAATGTCTAATGAAACCAAACAGTGACTCTGGAACTGGGTCTCTTCGAGATGCAGTATCGAAGCCCAACAGGATAGTTGTCTTTGACGTCGGCGGAGTTATCAAGATCTCTGAGCGTATCGTCGTGTCTAAGAACATCTACATCGCCGGCCAAACTGCTCCAGGTGGCGTGAGTCTCTAGAACCTTGGAAATTACACGAGCTAAACCGTCTACAGGGCATCGTCGTCTACGGCAATGGCTGGTCTCTCTCCAATGCCAACGACTCTATTGTGCGATACATCACCATCCGTATGGGTAAAGGCGGAACCTCAGGCAAAGACGCAATCGGTATTGCTGACGGTAAAAATATCATCTTCGACCACGTCAGTGTCTCGTGGGGCCGTGATGAGACTTTCTCTATCAATGGAGACGTCACAAATGTCACCATCCAGAACACCGTCATTGCTCAGGGTCTTGTTTCTCACTCTTGTGGTGGCTTGATGCAGACAGATGGTGGAGTCAGCTTGTTCCGCAATCTGTATATTGATAACAAGACTCGCAACCCCAAGGTCAAAGGTGTCAACGACTTTCAGAACAATGTGAGTGATTCTGGTGATATTTCTGGACGAGCTTCTTACTGTCGTACAGGTCGTGTATAACTGGGGAGGTGGTGGCGGTTACATTGCTGGAGATAGTGAAGCTGACAGCTATGTTAACATTGTCAACAACTATTTCATTTCCGGTCCAGATACTACTGTCACAGCATTTACTCGATGAAATAGTTACTTCCATGCTTGTAAGTTCTTTTTCCTCTCAGATGATTGTTTTGCTGACACTGTTTCAGACGTCAAGGACAACTTCTACGACTCCAACCGCAATGGCAAGCTTGATGGCGCTGCTCTTTGCGAGAAGACCACTTGCTACTCTGGCATTGATTTTGTCAAGACTCCATACAACTATCCGGCTCCTACAGCGCTCACACCCCAGGCAGCCGTCGAGCTAGTCCTCAAAGGCGTTGGAAATTCACTGCATAGGGATACTGTTGATACTGTCCTCATAGACCAGGTCAAGTCCTATGGAACCAAGGGAGGGCAAATCTCTGATGAGAAGGAATTTGGTGGAGTTGGAGAGATTGCAAACGGTGCCGCACTGAAAGATTCAGATGGTGATGGCATTCCTGATGAATGGGAAACGAAGAATGGTCTTAATCCCAATGACGCTTCGGATGGTATGAAGGTTGCGTCAAATGGGTATGCTAACTTGGAGAACTATGTGAACTCTCTGGTTTGATTACTTTTCCTTCTGATTTCATAGCTCATAAGGAATTCGTGAAGAACTCTTCTTGATTTTATAAACATTTTATGTGGTCAATGCCAGATGCCAATGTTGCCCCTGTGATAATACATAACTCAAGCTTCTACTACAATAACAGGACTAAGATCATTGCGAGATCGTTCACAACATAACTGAGTTCTTAATTTCGGTATATATGCGGAGTTATTTAGTCTTTTCTATCGAGGTTGTCTTCCAAGGAATCAAGCACACCTTTGAATCCTGACAGACTTTCCTGTATAATTGGATCATCATATTGAGTCCGGCGCCACATGGAGTAATATTGTTGGTGCGTTTAATGTTTATCCATGCGTTTCGTTTCGTGGTGATCGTCAATGCAGTTTCTTGTTTCAACATCCCGGAACTCCCGGTAAGGTTTCATTACTCCTGTTTCACGGACATTAAAAGGGTTGCAATATAGCAGCACATGCAGTACTTAAAGACATGCTTAAGTTCTAATTCTCCGGTTCTCGGCAGTTCTGCTCTCATCCGCCGAGAAGATGCAGTTCAAAAATCTTGTCATTGCGCTGTACGGCGTTGGAGCTTCATGTTCTACTCTACGACCACCAATTGAAAGACGCGCAACGACAGAAATTCCTTCAGACTCTTTCAATTCCCTCGAAACATACTGGAATTACCTTTATCCTTGGGGGGCCACACACAATGGCGGCGCCCGAATGGATGAGGAACACGTCTCCGTCACTGATGGCGTTCTCACTCTGACTGCTGAGCCACGAGATGACCAAGAAGATCCCATTCACTATCTTTCTGGAGCAATTCACGCCAAATCAACATTCACTGTTTCTGCTGGTGGTGGTTACGATATCAGTGCTGAGTTCATTGCTCCAGTAGACAGAGGAACCTGGCCAGCTTTCTGGCTTAATGCAGCGAGCGGATGGCCTCCCGAGATTGATATTGCAGAGTGGAAAGGCTCTGGGAAGATTTCTTTCAACACATTCAATACTTCTGATGAGGTCACCGCACTCGATAGGGACTATCCCAATCCTGAGGAATGGCATTCTGTTCGTGCTGAACTGCGTGATGAGAACGGTCATGATGTGAGAGTCAAGTTTTTCCTCGATGGTGTTGAGCAGACTACGCAATATGGTCGCGACTACATTGGGGCGGGTCTACGTCTGTAAGTGTATTATTTATGAAATACTGAGACTCTGCCTAGCTAATAGCTATACAGGATCGTCAACTATCAGACTGAAGGATCTTCTGGATCACCTGGTCCCACAACGCGTAAGTTTCTTTCTGTCACTTTGATATGTCTCTGCCTGTACTGATTCATGTGTCATAGCGACAACTTTTCAAGTTCGAAACGTTGAGGTTGTCAGTCTCAACTAGGTTTATTTCTCTTCATTGAGTAGCTTGGCTAGCGATATGAGATGCTATTTATCGCCTTTCACTACAGCCGAGGGCATGGAGCTATACGAATGAGGGGGCAGCGTCTGTCAGTAGAGGGTTGAGCTTATTCGGAAACTTGCAGAATGATCCGCCGGCAATGTAACCCGCCAACCGACCAAACCCCTCAAAGGAGCAGAATGCATGAAACAAGTCAAGGAGCCACTGCAGTGTGACAGTTCACCTGATGTCTAATTTCTTGAATCATGGCCAGTCAAACGTGGTTCGATGGCTGCCTTCAAACTTTGGTTCCACCGTCTCGGGTCAAGATCTACCGAGTTGCATCTCTGCATTGCGTATTCTGATGTGAGGAACTTTTGATTTGTTCGGGCTGAAGATGGATTTGCCAAGGGAAATTAGCCTGAGTTGGTGAGTGCCGCAGTCATGCATTGAGTGAATGGGTGTAAGCCCCGACTGCCATGTCTAGCTGCAACCCAACCACTTCATCCTTGTGCCTCAGGGCGTGGGGAGCTTGTGGCTGCTAAGAGACCGATTAAGTCGGTTCTAACCGTGTAAATGGTTAAATGAGAAGACAAAAGTGATGGTGAGGCATTGATGAGAAGGTAGAAAAGTGGCTGCTTACTAGCGGCCGTCGGAAAATAGGGAATAAGAGAGAGCAAAGACTGAGACTACAACAAACCCCCAATCACATTTGGGGGAATTGTCAAACCTGGATCGCTTCCAGAAGATAAGCCTCATGATCGTGGTACCTTAATTGAAGGCATATAGGTCAAGCTTAAGACAAGACGAATCGCATATAAGCGCGTATAAGTGGGTGTCTTCGCATTGGGGATTTCTTCACGAATCACGCGATGCTTGCGATCGTCCAGGTGTGGTACAGTAGCAGCCGAGGAAGACCTGTTCCTGGGTGTCAGCCGTCTTGTGATGCAGACGAAGCCTCAAGGTACAGTAACTCTGAAGGATTGCTCGAGTCATATTTATCCGGATTAAGCTATAACAAATGACTGAAGTGACGTTTGAACTGGCGTTTTTGGTATATTCCTGTCTAAACACATCGGCCAACGTAGAGATAAACAGGGTTCTAGACCAAGACATCTGACGATCACCACCATCCCCCAGAAACTACCCCAGATTCCCCACCTCTCTAGGATGAAGAAGCTGGGGAGGATAAAGGCATCTTAGTGGTCAAGCTATTATCCGGTCCACTAACGATCGATGTTGACCACTCCATCCCTCATCACCAACTTCTTCCCCCCGCAGGATCTTCCACCAATGGCGGGGAAGTTCAACTACGAGATAGCTTCACCAACACGGGCCGTCGATCCTATTTCTACGGCGATGTGAACCGTTTCCCGGCCTCGAGGATCATCTCTGCATGGGGAGAACCATTGGAGATGGACGATATAACATGCCCATGTCCAGTGAAGTCCATCATGAGCCTCTCAAACCTCATTGCAAGTAGTCTGCTGCTGGTAAGCGACGAATCTGTTCACCATGGTAGCCGAAAAACACTCCGGGGAGATTCAGCCCCACGTTGAGAGCACTGATGCTGGTCTTGACCATCTCAAGAATGTAGACCTTCACGATAAAGCCCTCGCCAATGAAGCTCTTGAAGCCACGGCCGATGAGCATAGCTTTACTGTCTGGCAGGGTTTCAAGACTTACAAGCGCGCTGCTTTTTGGTCCATCCGTAAGTTCTTACCATTGAACTATTGACGTCTAGATAGCTAACAGGCAGCTGTCAGTCATCTCGACCACTGTCATCATGGAGGGCTACGACGTTACCCTCCTCGGGTCCTTCTACGGCTACCCACGATTCCGAGAGAAGTACGGCGAATATCTCGATGAGGAGAATGGACATCAGATCTCAGCCAATTGGCAGCAGCGCTTCAACTGTCTCGGTGCCCTCGCCAACATCATTGGCGCTCTCCTAAACGGTTGGGCTACTTCGCGATGGGGACACCGCAAGGTTCTCATCAGTGGCCTCTTCTGGCTCTCTGCCTTCATCTTTGTCGTCTTCTTCGCTCCCAACATCGAGGTCCTTCTCGTCGGTCAATTCCTCTGCAACATTCCCTGGGGAATCTTTGCTACAACTGGTCCCGCCTACGCTGCTGAGGTCACCCCTCTTGCTATCCGAGGATATCTCACTGCCTATGTCAACCTCTGCTGGTGTATTGGACAGTTCATCTCAGCTGGTGTACTAAAAGGTCTAGTTGACAACCCTACCCCATGGAGCTACCGAATCCCCTTTGCGGTCCAATGGGTTTGGCCTATTCCTCTCGCTATCGCAGCGTACATGGCCCCCGAGTCACCCTGGCATCTTGTCCGAACGAACCAGCTCGAGAAGGCCAAAGTATCCCTCGAGCGACTGTCCGAACCGGAACACAACATCAACTACGAGAATGCCGTTGCTCTCATGGTGCACACAAACAAGCTTGAGATTGAGGAGCGCTCTGGTACTTCGTACTGGGACTGTTTCCGAGGTAGTAACCTTCGACGAACCGAGATCGCTTGCATGGGTTTCCTCTCTCAGATCACCAATGGCGGTGCCCTTTGCTATAGCGGATCTTTCTTCTTCCAACAGACTGGTATTGGTCCCTCTGCTTCTTACGGTATTGCTCTTGGTGGAACTGGCATCGCCTTCGTTGGTACCATCATCTCGTGGTTCTACATCTACAAGTTCGGTCGACGAACAATCTGGCTCTCTGGTTTCTCATTTCTTGTCGTAATTCTCTGGCTTATCGGCTTCCTGGCTTTGCCCAAGCAGACTCTGTCCTTAGCCTGGGCGCAATCTATCCTCTGCGTTGTGTGGTTGGGAGCATACTCCATGTCGGTCGGTCCCATCATCTACACCATCGTTGCTGAGGTCGGTTCGACTCGTCTGCGTACACAGACTATTGTGTTGGCTCGTTCAACGTATTATGTCGGTAACATCATTTGCGGAGGTCTCATCCAGCCCGAGATGTTGTCCCCGGGATCATGGAACCTCAAGGGCAAGACAGTAAGTCCAGCCCAATCGATACGAGCTTCGATGCAATGCTAACATGCTACAGGCCTTCTTCTGGGCAGGTCTTGCCACTCTCACTCTGGCTTGGGGTTATTTCCGTATGTTCGAGACAAAGGACCGTACCTTTGGTGAGATGGACTACATGGTAAGCAGCTGAACACGAGGGCCGAGAATGCAGCTAACGAATTTGAACAGTTCCAGAAGGGTATCCCGGCACGCAAGTCTGCCAAGTACCAGATTAATGAGGATGAGGTCTTTATGGCTCACGAGAAGCCTGAAGCTGAGAAGCACTAGATTGAGTGCTGAGGTTGCAGTCGGGAGGCCTCATGTGACGTGACGATCTGTGAATGGAGCCATGTCATGATTTAGCGATACCTTTTGCTTGATCAACAATATTATTGTTCTTGATGATGATAATCATTGGATAGGCGTGGCTGAAACTATGCTGGACTAAGGCCCAACCGAAGTCATGGCGGAATGTCTTTGGTGAGACATTAGATCCAGGATCAGAGCCTAATATTAACAACACGTGATAATATGGTGAATGTTTGGATAGCATATCGAGCAACATAAACAAAGCAAAGACATGCAAAGTATCTGTTAGGTTCGAATGTTGAAGGGATTGCTCGATTGAGCCTCTTTCATCTTGGTTGACTTCATCTGTAGCCATCCCAATCCAGGAACGGATCGATCGGCCTCAAAGCCGTGCCAGCCAAGCCCAAGTATCGTATTCTCCACTTCAAGGGGGAGTTTCTAACCCACCATCGTCACCCGCTGCCTCAGCTAATTTAGCGCTTGAAGTGCCAAGGAATTCGCTCGCCACGACAAAGAATTGCTTCTTGCATCAAAGAGAGATGTCTGCGGTTGAAGTTCAAGAACATCAAAACAAACGAAAAAAAAAAACTAGGGGATCCAGGCGGTGAAATACAGCTGGCGGCATTCTGTATATCTCAAACATCAAATCAAATCCCACGCTTGGCTTCGTATACAGAGATTGGCTACCAAGGAATTAAATCCCAGTATCTCGAGTGCATTGGAGATTGGGTCAAGGATAAACTTTGATGCACTGGATTTGTTTTAGCTTCCATCCGTTCTCAAGAATTGGTTGCATTGTTCCTTGCATAAGTCACGCCACTACGAATCACAATCTTTGAGATAAGGGCACACCGTTGGAACTCTCTGCTGTCTAGACGAGAGCTGCGCGGAAGAGGCTTGACAGATAAAGGATGTGTTAGACAGCATCAAATCTCGCAATACGAAAAAACAGAGCCATGATGTTCAGTTCTCAAGAATAGCAACATTCATCTCGATTGTTTTATCGACGATCACGCATTGCAAAATTGCTCCTTGGGTACGAAACAGGAGAAGCTGGGGTTGACGTCCAATGAGCACCCACCTCCAAGAAATGCCCTTCTATTCTTAGCGGCCCACGGCACGTTAACCATAACCTAGTGGACCAGCGTCGTAAGCATTTCCCCTGAAAAACCGGGAACTTAGTGCCTGTCCGGCACGTGACGGCTCCACGTCCGCTGCAACCGCCCCCCGACCTAATCTCACCGCGTTCCGAAAGCAAAACAAAGCGCCTTTCCTCATTCTTTGATCAACTTCCCATCTTTTTTTCCCATCCGTACATCATTTCCTTTTTGTTGTCTGGATTCTCTTTTTGGATTCGGCATTCTTACTTACTTCCTCGTCACTCTCTTTTGACTGCCAGAACGGCTTCTTTCTTGATTACCATTTCCGAATAATCACACTCACGCTCTTTTAATAGAATTAGCTTCCGGCTGGTGTGACCTTGCTCGACGTTATACCAACCTGCTTACACCACATATCGATCACTTGACCGAGAATCGATAATCTATATTCGCCAACATGAAGGTTTCCACTACTCTCGCTGCTGGTGCCCTCGCCCTCGGCGTTGAGGCCAAGAACTACCTCGGTTTCAACTCCGGTGCCACCCTCGCCAACCGTGCCGCCAAGTTCAAGTCCGACTTCCAGGCTGAGTTCGAGACTGCTCAGAACCTGAAGACCGCCCCCGGCGACTTCAGCGCCGTCCGACTCTACACCAACATCCAGGCCTACTCCGAGGATGACCCCATTGAGGCCTTCGAGGCTGCCATCGACACCAAGACCGAGATCCTCCTCGGTGTCTGGACTTCCGGCACTGACAACATCGACAAGGAGATCAGCGCTCTCAAGAAGGCCGTCGACAAGTACGGCTCCAAGCTGACCGACCTCGTCATCGGTGTCTCCGTTGGTAGCGAGGATCTCTACCGTAACTCCGTTACTGGCGTGAAGAACAAGGGTGGTGTCGGTGTTCAGCCCGATGTCCTCGTTGACTTCATCAACGACTTCAAGAAGGCTTTCAAGGGTACCCCCATTGGCGAGATCCCTGTCGGCCACGTCGACACCTGGGACGTCTGGGGCAACGCTACCAACAAGGCCGTCCTCGACGCCATCGATTTCATCGGTGTGGATGAGTACCCCTACTATGAGAACGACAAGGGCAACAGCATCGACAACGCTGCCAAGCTCTTCAACAAGGCGTACGAGGCCACCATCGCCGCCTCCAATGGCAAGCCTGTCTGGGTCACTGAGACTGGCTGGCCCTATAAGGGTCCCGACTGGGATGAGGCCGTTCCTAGTGTGAAGAACGCCCAGAAGTACTGGCGCGACGTTGGCTGCAAATACCTCTTCAACAAGACCCCCACTTTCTGGTACACTCTCCGCGACTCCAACCCCGACAACAAGATGAAGTTCGCCATCACTGATAACCTCTCCACCACTCCTCTGTTCGATCTCTCTTGCGACAAGGTTGACGATGAAGAGACCACCAGCTCTGCCGTCCACTCCAAGACCAAGACTGAGTCCGGTGCTTCCACGGCCACTCACGCTTCTAACTCCACCGCTACCTTCACCACCTCTACTGCCTCTGCTACTAGCGGCTCCGGTGATGATGAGGAAACTACTGGCACTGCCACCGCTACTGGCTCTGGCTCTAAGCCTACCTCTGGATCCGGTTCCAGCTCTGGTTCTGGTTCTGAGGGTTCTGGATCCAGCTCTGGCTCCGGTTCTGAGTCTGGCTCCGGCTCCAGCTCCGGCTCCGAGTCTGGCTCTGCCCCTGCTGAGACTCCCAGCACCATCACCAACGGTGCTGCTTCTCTCGGCGTCTCCACTGCCGCCCTTGCCTTCCTTGCCCTGTTCGCTCTGTAAATATCCTGAATGGATCGTGGGTTGAATGACGCCCATTGCGTGTCTTGACTTTTTTCTCGCGCCCGAGATCTGTTGTATTAGTTATGGGTAGATTAGGATAGACAATGGTTGACTCTATTTTCTTCTAACTCTCGCCAAACTGTTTTTGCTATATTTATTGTTGGCTTTACTGACGGATAACCGTTCACAACGGCTTTCATGTTAAACATTCGTCCCGCAATTCTAACTGGCTCGGCTTAAGTGGGGCCGGGTATTTCATCCAAACTCAGCTGTGATACTGTAACATCGAGTCGAACCACAGCGCAAAAAGAGCAAAACCCCAGACATAGGGAGCAGAGAGAGTAAAAGAAAAGGGTCTGGCCGGGGATTGAGTCCGGGACCTCTCGCAAGCTATGCTATAGGATTTTCCCTAAGCTAGACCACTAGACCGATTTTGCCTTCAAGACTCTTAATACAATCACGTGATCATCGTTGCATTTGGTGCTCCTATATTCAACCAATGCGCTGTTGATGATTGGCATCTCTAGGGTGGGTGATGTCGATTTACCAGAACTTCAGTAAAGTCTGCCTCTGGCCTCAACGTGGTGCATTACATGTCGTAGTACAGCCGCTAGATGGCTGATGTCAGGTTGGTCGAGGTAATTCTAGCCAAGTATGGTGGCACAAACGTTGGGGCCAATAATGGTTGAAAGGTTCCGTCAAGACGATTGATGAATTAGGAGCTTGCTCCATGAGTTCATCATTTGATCAATTCCATTTTCGCTTACCCAGCTTTTCCCTGGACATCTCTTTCAATGAATTGCCAATATCGTGAGTTATCTACAATTGAAGACATCAGTTGAGAACGGAGAATGGATGTCTTGCCTTGATGAACAATGTTGCTTGGTAGAATACTTGTTGGAAAGATACTTTTCTTAAATGTCATTTCTAAAGTTCTAGCAATCCTCATGGGCATCCTTCACTGCCTCTTTTCTCCATCTGAGGCGTTTCCCGTACCAGTGATCAGCCCTACTGGGGAGGCAAGTGTAAGGAAACGTGCGACTGCCATCGATGAAGCACCAACATTCTGTCTCAACCCAAGAAAATTCCTTGTGACATCCTTTTTTGCTGTTACAGCTTTCGTAAATACTTTACTCTTTGGCAGCTCTTCAATAAACGCGCACCTTAAAATCTCAGTCATAGCACTATTCATCTCCTCTTGACAATAAGCAAGTTCAACAACATCATCTTGATTCATCATTGCTACCTCAACAGTAACAATGGCGCTGCCTCAAAACCAATGTGAGTCTACCGAAGTTCAAATCTATCCTCCTCAGCCTCTAATCGCGGTCCCTCCAGTTCCAACTGCGCTGTTGGGGCACCAGGTCGGGATCTTCCCAGCTTACATCACGGTCCAGACAGAGACCCTCATGGTCAGAGAAAAGTTAGGGTCATACAACGGCAGTGAATTAGAGGTTAAACATGTCAATGGTCTGCCTCTCCTCAAGGTAGAGTGGAAGGTGATGAGCATATCTGGACGCAAGATGGTCTATGACATGAGATGCAACCATCTTTTTTCCATCGTCAGGAGGCATCTCCATTTCCGTACCAGGTATGTTGTGGAAGACCCTGTAGGAAGGGAACTTATGAATGTGAGGAGTAGCTTCCGGCGTGAGTCGTCCCCGTGATAGTCGCTGTGGCATCTGTCTCTGATATGTCTTAGTTTTCTGTTCTAAAGTCACAGCTAACTTTAATTCGCTCAACGGTTCAGCAGAGGTTCTTGAGATGAAAGGTAGCTGGCGCGACTATAGTGCTTCCATCGTTGACACGATCTCGGGTAACGTGGTCGCACGTATCAGCCGCACAGTTAACAGCCGGGATTTGCTATTTGGCCAACAAACATATGCGCTCGAAGTTATGCCCCGTGTTGATATGGCTCTCATGGTAGCAATTTTCATTTGCTTTGATGAGAGAAACAATGAGAACAGGGCCGGTTGAAAGGACTTGATTAAGAATATTTGTGATACCCAAAGGACTGCACGATGGATCGAATGAGTGGTGCTCGGGGCTGACCGAGACCTGTGTTGAGAGTCAGCATTGTCAAGCTTAACTTTCATATCCTAGGATGTGGAAATGAGATTGAGCAATGTTTTGCTGGTCTTGCTCAAAGGTTCAATATAGTGATAGAGAGACTAAGACCCACACACGCGCCTGATCATCAACGAGAGTACGTACGTGAGAGGGAGGGATCTATGAAGAGTATATACCTAGAGCAAAGACTAATATTGTTCCTTCAACGAATCAAGTCTAACTCATACCAATTACCTACGCCTTCTTATAACTTAGCCATCATCCGTATGGTACCCCCAGTCCGCAGACCCCTCATCTCACGAGAAAAACACAACATCAATGCCAAGCTCACCACTCACCAGCCCTTGTAGAACTCCTGGCCCAAGTAAACAATAAGAAAAACGACAAGCTTTCTGATAAATGCTTATTTCCAAGGTTACAAAAGCTTGACCGCAACAAGCTCTTCAACCCGGCAATATCTGTGCCGAGTGATCTTCTCACCGTTGCATTACTACATGGTGAGAATTTGAAGAGCGTTCAACGAGCGCCCGCTGGGGAGAAGAAAAAAACAACTCAAATCGTACAATGCTTTTACGGTTCCATTGCCAAGAATTTGTCGAGGGGGCTGTGCAATGTACGCTCCGCCATTATCGTGTAATGCCAAGCGTGGGGATGACGGACAACTCATCCATTTTGGACCTCGGAAATTCGTTCTCTTGTCCTTCGTTCAAATGTTGCTCTGTATGGAGTATTGCAGGTGGACTCGAAATACTCGCTGTTGAGACCGGAATACATTTTTTGCGATATGAGACTCGCCTCAGGACAACTTTACTGTATAAGGTGATAGTAATTGGATAGGTACCTACCTCCCTGATATTGAATACAATACCGACGGCACGTTTGGTTGCTATTCAAAACACTCTGTGTTAATGTTACACAGCGAAGAAAAGGCCCTGTAGTGGCAGGGTCTGCAGTTCTTGGCCCGGTGCCGATAAGCGAAGGCGGCTTCTACTTACAGCAATAGCCTGTAATTGCTGCATCTCTAACGTCGTCCAACGCGCCCGTGCATGCGTGAGAAATGCAAGACATTACCTGGTAAGGTAGGCAGCCCAGGTTATCAGACGCACATGGGAACGATACTGGCAAACCCTCACAAAATAAAATGTGCTGCATATCAGGCAGTACGAAACGTGCTCTGGTATTGTACTGTGTACTAAGGTATTAACAAGTGTGACATAACCATCAACCTTCTTCCTTGCCCTTATGGCTCCAAATCAATGCTGTTACAATGAGACGTAATCATATCGTTATTCATAGCTCGTTTTGCACCATTTAGTCATCCTCGTACACCTCCTCATAGGCCTCTTCGTACTCCTCACGAGCCTCTTCGAGTCTCTCATGATCACTGCTGCTGGCATCCGAGTCATTAGCTTCGGCCAGAGCTTCTTCGTACTCTTCGCGGGCCTCTTGAACATCTTCTCGGTCACTGGATGAGACAGAGTCGCCGTCAGCATCGGTAGGAGGAAGGACACCAGGAGGGCCTTCCTGCGCGTAAGGGTCAGCGGCATAGGGATCCTCGGGAGGAGCTCCGTAGTAGTTGTTGACAACCTGGGGAGCAGCAGCTGGGGCAGCAGCGGCGGCGGCAGAGTGCTCGTGATCACTGTCACTGTCGTTAAGCTCGTTTGCGATCAAAGCACCGCCAACAGCACCAATGGCGAGACCGCCTGCGGCACCAAGGAGCATTCCAGAGCTACCACTCTTCTTCTTCTCGCCTTGACCGTAGGGGTTGTTGCCGCGATCGCCATCAGCGGGAGCCCCGTATTGACCGGGAGCTCCGTAAGGAGAGGGTGCGCCGTAGGGCGAAGGAGCGCCATATGGAGAGGGGGCACCATAGCCTGGAGCAGGAGATCCATAACCACCTGGAGCAGGAGATCCGTAGCCACCCTGACCAGGGGGGGGAGAAGCGTAGCCGCCATAGCCAGGAGCACCGCCGTAACCTCCAGGGGCAGGAGAACCGTATCCACCAGGAGCACCAGGGTAGCCGCGAGATCCGTCAGAGGGTTGAGACTCATACGGAGGACGAGAGTCCGGGGGAGGAGGGGGAGGAGCCTGACCAGGTGCCTCCCACTGGGTGCGACCAGTGGCTGTCTCAACATAGTACCATCGCTGCTGGTTCTGGTCGAACTGAGCAGTCCAACCTTGGGGCAGAGGCGGGC